AGTTGCTCCAGGCTGGTGCTAACAAAGAAGCAGTGGGTACAGATGGCCACACAGCTTTGCATGTGGCAGCTGCCAGGGGACACGAGAATGTGGTGCAACAGTTGCTCCAGGCTGGTGCAAACAAAGAAGCAGTGCGTAAACATGGCTTCACAGCTTTGCATGTGGCAGCTCTCGAGGGACACGAGAATGTGGTGCAACAGTTGCTCCAGGCTGGTGCTACCGAAGAAGCAGTGGGTACAAATGGCCACACAGCTTTGCATTTGGCAGCTGCCAGGGGACACGAGAATGTGGTGGAAAAGTTGCTCCAGGCTGGTGCTAACAAGGAAGCAGTGGACACAAATGACGCAACAGCTCTACATGTGGCAGCTGCCAGAGGACACGAGAATGTGGTGCAACAGTTGCGGTTTAACATGGTTTGACAGCTTTGCATTTTGCACCTGCAAATGGACACGTGTTTGATTGTCACTCCAGGCCAGTGCTGACATGCAGTAGACAAAAAATGACTTTACAGCATTAGATCTGGCAAGTCTCACGAGCCACCACAATCCGATCAGGCTGCTCATTGGCATCTCCACCATGCTTCAGGGGAGCGTGAAAAGAGAGGGGCCGCGGATGGTACAGACTCAAGACTCGGAACCATGGTCGGTGAACATCCCCCGTTGAAGAAGAACATCTTGGGAGTCTGAGGGGTGGGGATGCGGGTGTCCTTGTTCTTGTTGGTTGGCAGGGTTGAAGCCACCAAGCCCTAGGCCCCTTACACTCTGACTCACTAACATGGAAGTGGAAAACGGTCCCTTAGAAGACTACTTTCCTTTACGAACAGGTGGTTTTCCACTTCGATGTTAGTGAGTTGGAGTCTAGTTTTTATCTTTGCAGTTGTCCAAATGGGCTCAGTTGGCTCTCCATAACTCTAGAATTAGTGTGGCCCGGCCCGGTCAGAACTCGTGTCTTAAATCCAAAGACTATTTTTTGGTCCTGTGTATAAGCCAGTGGGGTTTGAGCCCAGGGTGCGGCCTCCTGTAGACATGGAGAGAAGTTCATCATCACTCATCTCTTTGTGCTTAGTCCTACTAGAACCGTTCTTCCCCCCCCACACGTCACTTCCATTTCCACGGTCCAAGTCCCGGCTCCTGTAGACCGTCGTGTTTTAAGGACCTACCCTCAGCTGGACCCAGAACGTTCAATATACTTCAATGACCTCACCTCAGCTGGGACCCGGAACCCTTCAAAAACTGAGGAATTCCGCGAGAATCGAAGGATCTTCTTGGGCTTCTCGGATGAGAAGAAGTGTGAGGAAGACGCTCGGCTCGAAGTGGTGACGGGTGACGGGTGAGGACGGGGGCCTCTCCACGTGGTTGGTCTGGTGGGAAGTGGACAGATGACAACTCCAGCGGCCAGCAGAGGCACTTTCACTCGAAAAGAAGAGTTGGTTGAATAGTTTAGGGTGATTGAAAAAATAGTTTTGGGCAGAATGACACCTCTAATGCTAGGCCTTTAACAAGGTGCCTCTTGGGCCACTAGGAGTGGGCACGCTACTGGTTGGTCACGGCAGTTGCTAGTACTTCGCATGGAGCAGAGGTGAATGAATTTGTAAGAGGGTGTGGGTCAAAGAACCTAAAAACCCGGAATTGACCCAGAGACACAAAACCGTGGGATCTTGTGTTAAGTATTGATCCATTCGCACGTGCACCCAAGGATGTCAAGGTGTTTGCTACAGCATATGGCACAAAAGCACCTTTTGCCGACAGGCTTGCGCAAAGGTGTGGAACTTGATTGCACGCTTTCTCTGATCCAGCGATGCATGTCTTGCAACTGAGGACTACTTGGAGAGCCTCTTGCGTCTCTTACCGCGAGTGCCACGGATGTGCTGAAGAGCAGGGTTCTTGCTTTGAAGACTTTCCCTGTCCTGTCATGGTAGCTCTGATGGCTGAGACTCATACCAAACATGATCCCCTCCACTCGCTCCATCTGAACATCAACAGCTCTGGAATGGCATTTGGCTGTTCACCCGACCAGTTTTCTTCCCACAAAAGCATCAGCCACATGGCCGTGGGATCAGTCGCAAAAAGGCTGCCGGGTAGGTCCCAGAACGAAACCCTTTGAATTGGTCCTTCTTCCACGTCAAAAGAGATGGACACACGACTCCAGACTGCAAAAAACACAAGGAACTTGAGTGTTTGAGTGGTTCATAGTGGCCCCCAAACAGATCGACACGGTTTTTGATGGATTATCAGTGGGGATCTACTTTTCTATACAACTTGGGGGTCTATTTATAGCCTGAGAGTCCAGTCATGATAACTTTGAACCCTGGCCTGGTAGTGGTGGAGTATGACTCCCAGCTGGGGTAAAATGAGTCACAACGGAGGTTCTGGGATGGTGCTTCACTTCCTAAACTTCAGAATGTAAACAGAAAGGACGCCTCCAGTTTCATTCCTAAAAGACCGTAAAGAGAGGAATACATATCCTATCATGTCGTCATACACCCTTGATTTACACTCCTCCGTCCACACCATCTCATCCGCGCGGATGTGAGGTGTCCACGGGGCAGCCGCAACGGATCAAAGCAATGAAGAAGACCAAAGAGAAGAACGAACCAGAGGTCATCTTGAGCGACCACGATCCTTTCGTCTGCAGGCGCGTGCCAGAAAGCGAAAGCGAGTTTCCTGTGCGCGCTCTCGCGAAGCGAAGGTCATGTTTTTTCGCACGGAGCAGGAAGGGTTGGAACAGATTTTTCAACGACCAAGGATTGGAGATTTTCTTCCTCGAATCTTATTGACGTAACATGTCTAGGGCCTAGGGGGATTCTTTGGTCATCACGATCCATCGGTAGTCCATTGATGCTGCGCACTAGGTTTTTGTAAGGCGAACAACTTCACAACTTGGGTGAATGATGGTTTTGGGAGTGGGAATACTGTAATGCTGGTTGGTCCTTCTTGAGAAGGGGCTCTTAGTATTGTTCGTCGAACACTGGCCTTAAGATCCACCTAGAGGATTTAAGTCAGCCCTTTAGATCCCCTTTCCAGGGCATCTTTGCTCCGATTGGACTTGTATGGATCGCATGGGTGCTCGGGCCACTGACATGGCCCCCGATGGGATAGTTGCTTGGATTCTTCTACTGGGTCCTTGGTCACGTGGTATGAATTCATCTGCGTGACAACGTGGGATCGGACGCTCACGATTCTTGACAGTCTTAAGATTCCTTCGCAATGCCCCCCCGATGCAGGCCACTCAATTTCTCGCTGATCCACTGCAAGATAGCTAAGACTGACAGAACCACCTTCCCCTCCTGAAATTTGTTACGAAGGGGCGACCCCAACAGCAACCGTCCAACCACTCTCCCCGGTCTACTTGGTGTGGAATCTTCGAATCTTCCAACCTTCCAACCACCTTAGTGTTTAGTGGACCTCCCCAGTGTCTCTTCACCTCTCCGACTGCTTTCCAACCGCGAAGCCGCGACCCTGGCGGAGGTGTTGCATCCATTGCATCGCCCTGCTGAGCTTGGAGCACAACTTGACCTCCTTCCAGCGCTTCGTGGACTTGACCCTGCCGAAACTGCTGTTCGATCTCTTCTACAGCGAACAGATCGACAAGTCCTCGGGGGAGGCGGTGGTCTTGTTCTTCGCGAATATTCTACACAGTGGCCTGGCTTGGAAGTGCACGTGTGTCCTACCTATGAGGATCTTCACTTTTTTCTGGTGGTCAAACGGGGTCACAAAGTCTCAAACCCCGCATCAGTCCCTTGCATGCTTCGTTGGCCTTCTGAACTATGTCTTTTCCCGAAAACACTGCAGATACATTCGCCTTTGCACCAATCCCCGGCACCACGCGCAGACTGCTGGCGCCGAAGGCTGGCTCCGAGCACCACCGAGGTTCGAAGCAAATCCAAGCGCAGATCATGAAGGGCGCCGACATCGTGCCTCGGCCGGGACGGAAACGACCGACCGAGCCGCTCGCTGTCGGTGGGACGGACGGTTGGTTCGTTCGGCTCGTTCGGTGAGTGAAGCGAAGTGAGAGAGGAAAGAGAGCAGAGGTGTGGGCGGGTAGTGCGAGAGATGGAACTTGAGAACCATGTTTGGAAAGGAGATCATTTTCCAGCAAGCCTTGACATAGACTGAAACATCAATGCCAAAAGACGCAAACACGCGTAATTACGGAAAAAGAACATCTTTTCTCTCAACTGATTCAGATGGTAAAGCCTCCTGATGTGTGTCTCATAGTGTCTCTCTTTCTTCCATCTACATCTCTCCGATCGCTGTGAGACAGCCTGGTGCTCTCAGGTCCAGTTGCTGCTCTCCAGCCGTGACATGCTCTTTTCACCCCACACCATCTCCAGGTGTGGAGCGCCGACGGACGCGGCACGTGGGTAGAGTGGGGATCGTGGAGTGGGGGCGTCTTCTGGTGTTGAGGGGCGAGTCTAGGGCAGCTGATCAGAGTGTGTTTGGGAGAGGTGGGGAAAGTATTGGAGCATGGTTGTCCAACTGCTTTTGCCCACTGCTCCACGGCCCACAAGAGCCGGACGTTGAATCTGCGTCACGCTGTCCAACTTTCTGAGGATTTCGGGCTGCAATGTGCCATCGGATGTGCCATCGCTAACAGCAGCCTGAGAACAAAGGTTTGTTGGTAAACTATACACCCAATTGCTGATAGGCTACAAATTCTGCAGATCAAACTCCACCTAACCACATGGACGTATCGCAAGTGGAATTCACAGCTTTCGAATCAGTATCCCGCCCAGCCCCTTTGCCACACAGCCCAGCCGTTGCGGAATCAGGTGCTTGTCGGCCTTGCTTTGCATCGCACGCATCCCGGACTTCAAGCGCGTGGCCGCACGGCTGCAGCGATCTGCCCGATCCGTCCAAAATGAATTTTTCACTGCGTGAGGGATGGTGCGGGTGGTACCCCAGAAGATAGACATGTTGGTTCATAGGTTCTTGAAGGTCGCTATACTAACGAAGGGCGGGTCATACAGTAGGAAGGTTAGGAGACACGCAGTTATTTTTGGAGAAGTGAGTTGCAGCACAGTATGAATAGTTTATTGTAATGCCAACGGTGTGAGCTATTCATTAGTAGCATCACCAGCATTCCGTGACCAGGAATTGATTGGATTCCTTTATCCCAGCTGAATAAGCAACAGTTTTGGCAGGTTCCCCTACAACAAGCTGGGCTGCTCATTGAGGTCTTGAGCCATCTCGATTTGCTCATGGCCGACATCAACGCCAACCTCAACATGGAGGAGAGTGTTTGGCGAAATGGTTAACGGTTTGCTTGCTGTGTTTAGTTGTTTAACACACCGGGACTTTGGTTCTTGGACGTTTTGGCATCACGGACATGGCCTACCTAAACCACCAACATGCCAGTACGACAACCGTGACAATTGGGTTGTTAAGGGTTGTGACTAGCATGCTTGGATTCTTTCATGCCAAGGTTTTTTGCCTTTTGCCTAGGCGTTTGGAGAGAGAGTCGAGTTGAATCCAAACTGTACGTCGCCTTTTCCTTGCCGCCGTTGAGCTACTTTCTAGTCGACATGAAGACAAGAAGAATTCATCTGCAACAAAGCAAGCCAGCGAGCCATCCAACACATGCTTTCATGAGCCATCTCGTCGCACCTGCCAAACACCGAGGGTTTGGATGTGGCAAAACCACCCATCTGACGGACCGTCTCATCGGACCCGGGTCCGGATTTCTTTTTCAGGTTGGAACATGTTTTTCTATGTAATTCTTCAGAACTACACCCAGATCACGCGGTTTTGTACCGCGGACAGGAGCGCGACGAGCACTTCTACCAGATTGCTGCGCTACAGTGCCTTGAAAACTGTTTTGGGGGGGAGTTTGTTGAGCTTGGTGTCTCGAGCGGAGGTATATAATTGCCTCAGACACCTCCGTGGGACTCTGGCACATGTACCTACATTGGGGATGGTATAAGCCAGACACCTCCATGCGACTAGCTATAGCATATTTATCTACCGGCATTGGAATGGCGGTCAAAATATGGGCATATACGCATTCCTTGCAGCCTCACATAGAGTCTGTGCATAGATGAGCCACTGACTCTACGGGTTATCCGGATTGACCACTCCAATAGCGTCCTTCCCAACTTTTCCAACTTTCCGAAACCACCTGGCAGTGTGTGGCAGGTGCTTTTTGGGTTAGACCTGCTTCTGGGTACCCAGCACCAGATCGGATCGGACGTCGCGCGTGTGGCGACGTGCGTCGCGGCGGGTCGGGTCGGCAGGTGCTCCTTGTTGTCGGAGCTGGCGAGGGCCTCCTATGAGTATCACGAGCAGATGGCCAAGAGCGGCATCGCGCCTTGGTTAACAAGACTGGGAGGAGAGAAGGGGGTGGGTGGGAAGAAACAAAGGAGCTTCAGCAGAGAGGAGCAGAGGTGATCTCAGCTGGTGGTTGGTGGTTTCGTGGAGCATATTCCTGGACAGGGTTCGACTACTACTGAATTTGGAAGAACATCCTATTGCTCTGTTTGCCACTTCTGTGGACTGTTCGCCACTTTTGTGGACTGCAGGTTTCTATTTGTAGTAAGAATGCTCCTAGTAGTAAGGCCAGGAGCGCCTAGTAGCTTCTTGTTCCTAGTTTATAGATGTTTATAGCAGAGGCCTTTTCATCTTCAGATCCTGCGGACAGCAACGACCAGGTCGAAGCATTGTTGGTCTTCATCACCATGGCTGGCAAGGACGAATTCTCGCGTGCGATGCCAGGGCCCGGCAAAAAGGCATCACAACCCCCAGGGCCCTGGCGAGGAATGATGAGCATGATCACAATTACTGTAGCCTGGGGGTGGAGAACATTACCATGCGTCGATCCAAATTCAGGCCTTTGGGCCATATAGGCCTTCAGGTGTGGGTGGAAGTTGGGTTGGAGGGTAGAGACCATGGGCATGGGGGGGCAAACAAGTCTGACCTGACGGAGGGCTGATGAACACCCATGGAGGAAGAAACAAATTTCGGCTGTGGCCCTTAAGACATGGTCCAGATCAGTATCACTCAGTATCTAGCCATCCATCTTTTTTCGAAAACAGGCTCATGATTTGGATCCATGACCACCCAAGGTCCCACATCTGAACATGCACTCCTTTCCGCCCGTCCGGCCGGTTCGGGGGTCCGGTGAGGTGCAACTTACTGGTAACTGACAGGCTTCGCCAACCGGCGACGCCCTTGGGGGGCACTGCACGTATCTGCAGGCTGTTTGCACAGCAAAATCGACGATTAGTACAGTTTCTGACGCCTGCGCATACACCCTCCCACACAGGTGTGCGCACGAGGGTCTGATGGAAAAAGTCTGGCAACCTCAGCTTCAGACACACGTACGCACATGCACGAACGCACACGCACGCGCACATGCACGCGCACGAGAGCGCGCGCAGGCACGGAGGCACGCACGCACGCACGGCTTCTTCAAATATCAAGAGTTTGTAGTGGAAAGCGCTGAAGAAACTGTATTATTGAATATTTTTGAGAAAGTGCCCAGAAACACAGTCCTTTTCAGCGTTTTCCTCTACAAGGTCCTGATATTTGACCTGTGGCAATGCTATGTGGATGCTATGTGGGACCTTGATGCCATTCACCATACCGACGGTAACGGTAATGCAATTTTCCCTCTGACCGGTGGGAGCTTGATGCTGATGCTAATGCTTATGGCACTGGGAATGCCAATGCCAATCGCTATGGGAATGCTGATGGTAATGGGAATGGTAGGGGTAATGGCCATTCACCCTGTGACGTGTGGCAATGCCAAAATGCTCATGACAATGGTGATGGAATGTCATTCGCCCTTTGACCTGTGGGAGCTATTCACCCTTGACCTGTGGCAATGGAAATCGCAGTGGCAATGCCAATTCCTGTGTCAATGGCAATGCAAATGGCAATGGTGATGAAAATGCCATTCACCCGGTGGCATTCAAGAGCGAATGAAATCTTCAAGGTCTTGGGCGAAGTGGTCAGAAGGGTTGGTGAGAGCGATTGCTCTTTCTCTGCACCTCAAGTTGCCCATGCCTACCTCGCCAAGATGGACGTGGAACGACCATGTTCCTTACCGGCAAGACTGTCGGGACTGTGTGGAGGCCATGGGTGTGTAGAATCCTCATAGGAGGTCACAGAATGTATCCTCGGCTTTTGTGATGTCCGTGGACCCATTGAGAAGGGAAGGGACATTGGCCTCAACCGCGGTGCAGGTATGGTATGGTGGCGGTGGTGCCAATTCCCATGGTCAACGAGTTGATGGGAGCGCCTGATGAGCCTGATGTGAAGGAGATCCCTGATCTGCCTCTAGGTGAAGGCCTTGAATGAGAAGGGCGGCCATCGAACAGACGTGTGATGCTCCACGCCTGCAGACTGTGACCATTGCTGAACCTATGGCTTCGAGGTCAGTGGAAGACATCATCCACTCTCTCCAAGATCCATGCCCGCTACAAGATGATCGGAGTACGGCCATGTTGGCTGCACACTGACCGGGAAAAGGCCTTCCTCACGAAGTCTGTTGCCAAGTGGGTCCAAAGCAGGGAGATGGTGCACACGATGACCTCGGGTGACGACAGTCAATCGAACGGAAGGGTGGAAGGCGAGCTCAATCAGCTGAAGAGGAGGACACGCCTCTTGCTGCATTCCGCACTTTGGCCTTGCGCTCTACGTCGTGCGGGTGAACAGAGGTTCAGATTGCAGATGCAGCGTTTGGGGTGTCGTCCAAGCCCATGTTGATGTTCGGCTCCAGGGTGATGGCGAAGTCAAAAAGGTGGCGCCATCAAACTGGGAAGTTGGCAACCCCTTCAAGCAGATGGTTTTGTTGGGACCTAGTCCATTCATGAGTTCTGGATGGTAGCTCAGGATCTACAGGGGCGAATCCAACACCTCCGAACGCCAATCACCCGTACCTTGTGGGAGGTTGAGGGCACACATCCTGTGACCTGTAGTAATGGTTATGCTAATGGCTACGGCGACGCTAATGGCAATTCTAATCTTAATGCCACTGTAGGGTTTGATGCTAATGATAATGCTAATGGCACTGGGCATGCCAATGGTAATGCTATGCTGGTGCTAATAGCAATGGCAATGGTAATGCCATTCACCCCGTGACCTCTAAAAGCTTGATGCAATTCACCTGTGTTGACCTGTGGTAATGGAAGTGCTAATGGCAATGGTGATGACAATGCCATTCAACCTGTGAGGTGTGGGAGCTTCGTGCCATTCACCCTGTGACCTGTGGTAGCTTGATGGCAACGCGGATGGTGATGACAATGCTGATTGGCAATGGTGATGGTAGTGCCATTCACCAAGATGTTAATGCCATTAACCCGGTGACCTGTGGGCGCTTGATGCTTATGCTGATGGTATGGGAATGCTTATGGCAATGCTTATGGTACTGGTAATGTCCATTCACCCTTGCCGTGTGGCAATGCTAATGGCAATGGTAATGCTCATGACAATGGTGACGGAATGTTATTGCCCTTTGACCTGTGCGAGCTATTCACCCTTGACCTGTGGCAATGGGAATCGCAGTGGCAATGCCAATTCCTGTGGCAATGGTGATGCAAATGGCAATGGTGATGATAATGCCATTCACCCGGTGAGCTGTGGGACCTTGATGCCAAGACCTGTGGGAGGTTGAGGCCACACACCCGGTGACCTGTAGTAGTGGGGTCATGCCAATGGCCATGGCAATGCTAATCGCAATTCTCCCTTTGACCTGCAGGGCTTGATGCTAATGATGATGCTAATGGTACTGGGCATGCCAATGGTAATGCTGGTGCTGGTGCTTGTCGTGGCAGCCCGTGGCAAGTGCCTGCAAAAAGCAGCCTACTATGGCCGGTTGGCATGGTCCTGAGGCCACGCCAAAAACCAGTCTTGCCACAGCGAAACACCCTGACCCTGGAGGTTTCACCGGGGGATGGGAGCGACCGCTGGCGCCGTCCAACGTTGCCTTTGGAGTTCCATAGAAGGAGTATGAGAGAGTAGTCTGCAAAATGCAGCCTACGGCGTGTCTGGCCTGGAACGCGCAGCCCGGCCCAAGCATTAGCTAGGCTGGGGTGGCGGATATTCAATGCCCTATGACTTAGGTTCCGCTCCAATTCCTAATGACCCCGTTAGATTCCTTCCGCGTCGCGCCAGCTCAGTGCACATCCAGGACTTGAATGACAAGGTCTGCGTGGAGCTCCTGATGGGCGCCGTCTTCGGCATCGCCGCGCTGGTGGGTTCTCCCACCGGGGGAGATCACAGCTGCTTGGTGGATGAGGGGCTTGGTGGTGGAGGTGGGACTAATTATATAGGTGGGACATGGTGGGGCTAATTCGGTGGGACTTGGGAAGGAAGGTCACCTGATGCATGGACATAGAGCTATCACTGAGCTATGACGGCTGGATTTGAGGCTGAGATACCGAGGGAAACTTAGGGAACGATTATTTTCTTGTGATTCCCTTGGATCTAATCTTTATCCAAGGAAAAAAACATCAAAATTAAATCCTATGCGGGGTGGATGTGGGTGCAGGTGATTTTGTAGGTCAAAACCCTCTGGCAGATACGCCATATGCGTATGGTGGCTCTTCCCGACAAGTTGACATCTTTCATAACCTTGCAGTTCGTTGACCGCCACGTTCAACTCAGCGCAATTTAGGCTAGAGGATTCCTGTACCAGTCGGTAGGTGAGATCCACCATCTAGAATGTGGAAGGGGTCTCTTAGGTGTGTCTGCCTTGGACAGAAGAATTCGCCTTTTCCGAAGCCCTAAGGGCCCTAAGAGATTCACATACTCCCACAAGGTGGGTTTCTTCTTTGATGTGAAGTGATGTCAAAAAAACGACCCTATTGCATAATGCCAAAAAACTCCGGCCTGACACCCAAGGCATGGCAAGCCTCATCTATCCCGCCACGCGTTTACAGCTGCTCCTGTCCTTGCTTCGACTGCCACAGCAAGATGTGCAGCTCGGAACGAACGGAGCGCTATGGGTCCTGTGGGTCCTGGCGACAAAAACGCAGTGGTTGACACTGGTAGGTGGACCTCCCCAGTCTATTCTGCGCTGTTTCTGACTGGTCAACCCCAAATGGGTCTCGAAACGGGACGGGTTCCGAGATGGCGGACCATCTCTTGTGAACGGTGAAACCAAGGGCATGAGAGCTTCCAGATTCGAGCATTCAGTTCAATGGTCCTCTTGGAGAGAACCAACTCTTGAACAACTTGGAGCAGATGAAGGATTCAAATATATTGAAAAGAACACATCCAAATTATATTGATGTGAGTCTTCCGACTCTTCGACACCAAAACTGTTTGGAGTCGACCATGGAGTTTCCACTCCACTCAGCGACTCCAGCACAGCTGGGGGTGGGGAAGCAGAATCTCACTTTGCTCGGTGTGATTCTGCTTCTCCACTTTCATGATGATTTCAGGGAGTGTACTGGGTCGTTTTTGCAATCCTCTGCTTCTTTTCATTCTGGGTCGGGACCGCCATCCTCGCCCATGGGGAAAACCCTTCACAAGAAGCTCAAAAAAACACCTGTCGCCTGGCTAAGGAATGAGGCCTTCCATTCGGGCACCGTCGGCCTGCGAACCCTTCAGCGAGTAATCTATCCCAACATCACCACAGAGGACCCCGGTTCGTCGCGTTTTGCGTGTTTTTTGCGTCGTCGTTGGTCCATGTCGTCGGAGCGTTTGGGGGTTTGGAAGTCGTTGGAAGTGGAGAAGAGAGAGAGAGAGAGATCTGGGGAAGGGCCATGGTTTGGGGGCCCTAGAGTGTTTTGAGGGGTTCTTTCCTGGTTTTTTAGTTTTGGGTGAAGCATTTTATTGGTTCTTTCTTTCCGCCGGTGACGTAAGTAAATCTAAGAGTGGGAACCACAAGACTTCTTCAGTCAAATGCTGGACTTATATAGTTGTGGGCTTGAGATCATTCTTGCCCAGAAAGATCAGATGTTGAAGTACAGTATAGTCATCATAGGTTTTACCTGTTTTAACAACCCTGCTTGTTCCAGTTATGGATTGATGGATGCCCAATCCGTTTGAATCCTGTACCACCCCAACTTGGACCCTGTAACGACCCGGTTTGCATCAACGCAGTTTGGGAGTTGTTGGGACCAAAGGATATTTTTTTTTGGGGGGGTCCATCCATCTGATCATGATGCCAAGACATGAGGTAGTTTAGGAGGTGAGTGGCTGCCCCAGACGAATGACCAACTCGCCCAGACGATTGTTGGGGCATGGCAGAGGGGAAGGTGCCTCACCAGTCGAAGGGTCAAATGACTTTGGTAGTGCCAAGCAACCTGAAAAGCAGACAAGAGTTAACTCAAGGAGCGCGGGATTTTCCACCGAATTCAAAGGAACACCGTAGTAACGTAGTAGGTTCTGGTGTTTTTGCCATGTTTTCTGGCTGAACTCCTCCTCTACCATCACCTCCCCCCCAGGCCACAACACCCTTAGAGCTACCCAGAGCTACTCACGGACACCACACGTCGTTTCGGTGCGACGATGCGCCCCGCGGCACCTCGATGTCGTCCTGTTCCCGACCCACCGGCGACACGGAGGAACTGCACGTGGATTCGATGGACATTCTGAGTTTTCTAGGCGCGGCAGTACGAGGACCGAGGAGTTCCGAGTTGACGCGAGGAAAAGGTCGACCCGATCGTGGGGTCCGAGATGGCCAAAGGTCGATTTGTCTTCTGTGTTGTTCGAGTAAGAAGCATTCGTTCTTGGAAAAGCCTGTCTACTCTGAGGGTCTGGGGACCTTTCAGCAGGAAGCATTTGTTCTTCTAAGAAAGTAGAAGAGGTTGGATCATACTATCCTCCCCTCCTGCACTAGTGTCCTTGCAAAACTAATCTTGCTGGATGGCATCCATGTTATCACACCACTTTCCAAATAGAACTGGTGGTCCTATGTATAGTACAAGAAATGGACCTGCACTCCGGTGTTCAGCTCGAAGCAGCTTATGCCACCAGTAGAACCCTAAGATCATCGAACTGAGAGTTGCCAGTCCTCATGGTTTCGACGAAGTTCCCCCCCGTTTCGAACGAGGACTTGGCAAGGGGCATGCCATCCACTCATTGCTGAAGAATGAGGATAGAAAGTAAAGGCACTGCTCCCCAAACAGGGCAGGCCCCAAGTAGGTCTACTACTGCTATCGACGGTTTGAACCTCCAAAACACCGAACATATCCCATGGTCAGCAGTTTGTATTTTGTGGAAGGTGGTGTTTCAATTTCTTTCCTCCAGCAGCACTCTCCACACTTGTCCTCTAAGCCACCCAGGGACTTGGAACGTGTCATCCTGCTCATGATACCCACATGAGTCTTGGTCAAACCCACAGCAGACTCTTGGTCTACGGTGGAAAATATTTACATGGGATGGGCTACCGAAATCGATCAGTTTTTCTGATGCAAAAGTGGTCACTTTCGGAGATTGCCGTTCTCCAACTATAATGTCATTCATTGACCATCCTCCACTGCACCAGTGCCCAGTTTCCATATTGAACATCGGTCCAACAATCTTCCTCTGGCCAGGCAACTGCGCGATCAAGCCAGCCAACTTCATCTACAGGAGAAAAGAACACGTATTTCCACCCGGTGTGCGGTGATGCGTTGTTTTTTCTTTTGTTCCGCAAGACATTGTTCGACATGATATCCACGATATATTCATAGATCTGCTGAGTCAGGGAACTTCTGGGTTTTCCAGTCTATGCGGAAGTATGGGAAGGTGATAGCGATTTGAAAGCTGGGTGTTCTTGGAGGTCTCCGAGTTGAAGCTCTTCAGGGGCTCATCATGGTCTTGTACTGTCGGACGTGTCCGTCCACTGAGTGTTTCATTGTTTTATATATCTGCATGAGTATAGTATACTTGAGTTATATCTCAGTGTGGTTATATCTTAGTTCGAATATATTATGCGGTATATAATATCTTGATACACTTGAGTTACAACTGCTGAGCCAGAGTGTTACAACCACCGAGCAAAGCAGGGTTTTCGCACCAAAAGCTTCTGCTAAGCATGGACCGTCCCACAACTCATCTCTCCCCGCCGTGGACCGAAGGAACGTGATCCGCACGGTTTGCCTGCTGCTGTCGCATCATGAGATGGGACCCAGGCAGGGGTGGGGTTTAAGTCCATTCTGCACTGTCTGTGCTGGCGTACTCCAGCAGACCCTTATTTCTGTCCATCTTATAGTCCTAATTGGTTTGGAAAGGATTTCTTACCAAAAAAGAATTGCACAGACATACCAAGAAGTCAAAGATCCAACATTTTTTCAGGGTGTCCTAACACCCACCTGAAACCTTGCTGAAGCCCGGAAGTCTTTTCAATGTCGTTTTTTTTTTTGCTTCATTTGCAGCCACGGTCGACGCCACGACAGAGTCGCGGGTCGATCAGAAAGTGTTTCGATCTCGCTCTTCGTTGGAAAAGACTCGAGTGCTGAAAACACCGACCTCCGCAAGTCTCCCAGTGCTCGGTTCCTGGTGCTCCTCTGAGTCTTGAGTCTCAAACGACGGTCGCTTCTCTCTTGTCGGCCTCCCGGGCCTCCCCGCTTCTCTTCGCCGCATCGCTCAGGGTGCAACAAGCCTTGGAACCCAGCAACGTGGTGCCCACCTGCCTCTTTGCCATGAAGGACTGCGAAGACACCTACGTTCAGGCGAGTATGTGTCCTACCGTGTCGACCCGAAACTCGTTTCGTTTGGACGTATTGGGACGTGTTGAGACGGGTGGACCGCGGTGGACGTGAATGCTCCGTCCCATCCGTGGAATCTGGTTTGATCAGTTCAAGTGCGAAGATGCTATTATTCACTTCTTTTCTGAGCTGAGATGGAGATTCCCGAAGAGGTGTTTTTGATTTGGGTCCGGTGGATGCTGAGAGTCAGGAGAGGGGGGCCTCCAAACACTTGACCACTATGAAATGCAGTGCCAAAAGTCCCCGGACTGCCTTTTTCTTCCCTCGCGTTAGAAGGACGCGCAGCGACACGTTACCGAGGAAAAACCGACGAAACCGACGAGACCCCGCCAGGTCTATGGCTTTTTGCTCGTGGCGAACTTCAGCCGCGACCGAGCGCTGTTGTACAACTTCCTCAACGAATCGGCGGTGATTAACGTGCCCTGAGCTGACTCCAGTGTTCTTGAGAACCAGCATCCGGACCAGGGCGCTTTGCTAAAGATGTTACAGAATGTTACAGAAGCAGAGCGAGTATGATCTTCCCTTAAGCAGGTCTACGGTCTACGGTCTACCAGTTTCTTTCATCCAAGAAACCGTGACAGAATTGAAGCACCACACGCTGTGATGAATGTTCAGCTTCTGGAAGAGATGGATTCCTCACTTCTGTGGGAGTGCAACATCCTCCAGATCGAGCCCTTGGAACCAGGGCAACTCGATGGTCCCAAACAACCACTCCGGACTAAGGGAGAGACCAAGATGTCGCAGCGTGATGATCGCCTTTGGCCCCCTGCCCCACCAGAAAGGGTCAGGGTCAGCACCCGCTGTGTAGAGCGCCCCGCTGTCACACTCTGTGACGGTAGAAGTTCAAGGTTTCTGACGTGATTGGTGTAGAAGTCAAGGCGTTCCAGGTCCTTTGAAGGGACGTACCTGGTGACGTCTGGCGAAGGTCTGGTGCTGAAGGTATAGGGTGTTCATGAGGAAGGTCTGTGAGGCAAGAGCAATCATCATAACAAGTCACTCCACCTCACAGAAGTTGGTAATACCAGTCTCCACCTCATACCAGTCTCTCAGACCAGAATTTGTTGCTCCCTTTGGGCTGCGCCTTCGCCGCCTAGGAGCTCTTAACCACCATCCGCCGCTCGGCGCCCCATGCCAACGCGCCCGAGGCTGGCGATGGACTGGGGGGGGGTGGTTGGGGCAGGAGCTAGCTGCTAGCTAGCTTTGCTTCGTGAGAGGTGTTCTTCTATGGGGGAAATCCCACATCCTGAGGAGTTCATAGGAAATATAGAGTATATAGAATATAGAACTTATAGGAAGTCGCGTGCGGTTTCTGCATCTTTTTTTCAGAAAGCTTCAAGGGTAGGAATCGGAAGGAACAGCGAACAAAGAAGGTGCTTGTTGATGTTTCTGCATAGCTTTGTAAACTTGATCGACACTCATCTTCGGGCAGAGTAGAAGATGGATCTTCCAAGCAACCAACACTCGTTTTCAAAACAAGGATCAAACATGTTTTTTGTGAATTTTGATATCATACAGGATCCCTTCACTTCTTCAGAACCTGGGCCACCCCCAACCCAAAACCTCCAAACCCAGGGCCCCAACCACTCCCCTTTCCAAGCCTCTCACCACCACCTGACACGTGCGTTTAGCCCGCACGGCCACGGCCCTCGCTCCAGGCCACCTTGCCGGTGCGCGAGACCTTGTCGAACGTCACCGGGCCCTGGAGCAGCTCCGCCGTGGCGCGGAACCGCTCCTGGGCGCCGAACCCGGAGCGTTTGCGGCGCGGAGCGTTCGGCGCGGGAGCGTTCCGCCCTGGGGGGGGGTCCTTTGGGAAGCGCGAAAGGGGTGGGGCTGGAGGGCACATGGACACGACATGGGAGGTGCCTCTTTGGGAGATGAGGGCCTTGAACATGCGGGGTGGTACAGTTGCATGGGGAATGTGGGTGTAGGATGTGGGGATAGTGGGTTTTAAGGTCAGTGAGTTTGGAGGGTTTTGGAGGTTTTTGGCTGAGATTGGACACCAGGGGTGGAAGGGGGGAGAGGTCAAGAGTCGTGTGACTGTGGTGTTGCGATGCGTTGCGATGTTTGTTTCTGGGTGCGGGGACTGGAGTGGAGGTTGAAGTGTGCTATGTGATCATAAGGCGGCAAATGTAGCTCCTTGCTGTTGGCACAGCTGGGTTCATGGTCATGAGTCGATCAATGGATGTTGGGTGTAAGACACAGGCCAGTATGGACTCAGCACGGGTATCGACCTGGGTGGTTCATGTTGTGCATCCTTCACATCGCTGGCGTGTTCTCAGGCTATATGTTGGCCATGTCCGCCTTGACCAACTTCGCCGAGTGTCTCGCGCAGAACATTGACCACGTCTCGGTCAGGGAAGTGATACCACACACCCCCACGGCGGTCAGGTCCGTCGGTTGGGGTCAACGGGGAGATGGGATTAGATGGATTCCGAAAGGAACGGATGACCAGTGCCATTCGGAAGACCAGTGCCGGGTGGTTTTCAGTGGTTTTCACATGTTTTCACTCCACATGACCATGATGATTTCAGGGAGTGTGGAGCCCCCCCTCTGGCCCAAGGCAGTCTTGGCCTGTGTGTGTCTTTTGACCAGGGGAGACTGCTTTGCTGGTCAACTGCTCCGATATGGATGTGGTGGACTGTGAAAAGTTCCAGGTTTCGCTCCCCAACAAGGATCAACACGCATGGAGAAACCAGGGAAAAACACCAATGGAAAACGTGTGTTGCTTTTTTACAACTTATAGCTCACAAGGGCATGTTGGAGGTGCAGTGATTTGAAGAGGACAGGTGGTCAAGACTCAAGAGATGTCTGAGGCTTCCAACGTAGGGCAGACAGCCGTTCCTTAGGCCCTGTAGACGTCTCCAAAGGCAGCCAAATCGACGGATCCCATAGGTAACTGGCTAATTCAGATGAAACACCTCGCAAGGAATCTTCAGAATGAAGAGTTCCTTGCTATACTCACAGATTCCTCAACTTCACCTTCTCTCGCACTCAACGGGGAACCTGTCCCTGGTCTGAGGTGCCCTGCACCCTTTCGGGGCGCCGAGGTCCCGCGCACCGCTCCAGACCACGGCGCGCCACATGCGCGCGCCGCGCGCTCGACCCGAGGCGTGTGAAGGAGAAGTTCCGCGGAGACGACGGCGAGATCCCGGTGAATCCGGACATGAAGGCCTTCAGAGAGTGAAGAGTCAAGGGGAGACGTTGGAGAGTGTGTGGAGGACGTCGGAGGGTGGTGCTGCAGGTCTGTACATGTTGGGGGATGAGCAGGGGTGCACACCGAAGAACGAAGCATGGAAAAAGACACGGGGTGTTCACTGTCGCAAGAGGGTTTTTGAGGGATCACCCTGCAGGAATTCCTGTGGTTTTGAGGTGCCGCTTCAGTCATGGGGGTGGGTGCGCCGCGGATCTACTTTAGATGCTGCCTTCTCCTTTGCAGATTCCATTAAAGACCGAAATCGGCAAGCACTTGGGAGGTGAATATGGTGAATTCTTCAGCTTGGGTTACTAGATTGCGCTTCACCCACTTCACTTCTTTGAGATGAGGAACATTCGTTGTGGAACAGTGCAGAAAAGCCTGCCTTCGGTCTCTTCGTCCAGGAAGAGGATGCGGAATCCTCTTCGTTTCGGCCGAGTTCAAATGGAGCTTTCCCCATCTTCCCCCCCCCAATGAAGTGAAGGGAAGACCAAAAAGGAGCTGCCCCCCACCTGGAGTGGCTCATGACTTGATGGGTCAGCACAGTCTTCTGAATTAAACCATCGAGTAACTCATGAGTGATGACTATAGCTCACTGGGTGGCGGCTGCTTGTCCTGTTCATGGAACGTGGAACGATGTTAGGTTGATGTTTGGGCAGATGGCTGGCTTCCCCTCTGGTCTACTTATGGCATGTGTCTCCATTTGCATGATCGGTTTGATAGAGGGTGTGTACAGCAGCGTTCGGAAGTAGCCGCAGGTAAGAAAGAAGGATACGTCACAAGGGTGTGTGCTGCAACAAGAATGAACTCATCCAAATACATTGAGAAAGTAAATGCCTACATGAACAAAGCAGTCATATATGTGGACAATGAGCACTGGGTGCCTCGTCAATTCACCTAACAACTTCTCGCGAACCTGTGGGGGACGCAGTGACTGGCCGGTGGGGGACTGGCGGGATCGACTTTGGAGCCAGGGGTTTTCATACAGGGATCTGCTCGGAGCGAGCCGGGGAGTCCCCCAAAAAGGCCCTAGCCACTTGCGAGGTGACCATGGATCACCGAAGCTATTCAGCTTTTAAAGACGTTTCATTCGTTGGTGCGGCTCCAAATTCACCCTGCGCATATCACCATGCATCGCACCGTGGCTCCGCGGCGGTTTTCCCCGTGGATCAGGATGATGGAGGTTTGGTGATCTCGAATCGCATCACGCTCAACAAGTTGACCTCCACCTGCATGCGGGACCGCGCGGATCCGGGCGGTCCGGGCGGATCCGAACCGGATCCGAACCGCGCGGATCGGTCGTGGTCGTGGTCGGTGGTGGAGTGTGCACCCGTGGTTGGAATGGTCCGAAGAAGGTCGAACGGAGGGGTTTTGAAGATCCTGACGGTCAACGGTCAGCCACATGTGACGGTTTAGATCCCGATGGCGACCTGGGTGTTTGATGATGGGTGCGGAGAATAGGGTGAGGCGACGGAAGACTTGGTGGTGGAGACTTGTGCTTTCAAAAAAGGGGATCAAAAAGCTGGTGAAGTTGAGAGCACCGTTCACTTTTGTGTCTTCGTTCGCTGAAAACTACTGTAGCCTGCTGTAGCCGCCTTTTTCACGTCGAATCACTATCACCTAGAAGATGAAGGTCATGAATATATGCCCAGGACTTCCAATGACTCATTTTACTCCACCTGGTAGTCATAATCCACCACTACTATAGGGGTAAAGCTGAGGTCATGACTGGACTGTCAGGGTTGTTTGTCGGACTGTGCTATGTAAGTGTACGACCGTTCCTTTTCAGATTGTGGTTGAGCCGTTGAGCCAAGGGTGACCAGACCCACAGCCAACACATTCCAACAAGCTCACAAGAGCTCAGATGAGCACAAACATCAGGTAACATATAGGCCCTGATCATTGCCGCTCTGTGATTCCAGCCCTGAAATTGACACATGCTCAGCAAATATGCAGCTCATTCAGGAGGCTTTGGCTTGCTATCCGGGATCAGTGCCAGTATGACACAGAATGGAGAAAGCGCACGCTTCTTCTGGTCTGGGGCGTTCTTGAGAATGAGTTCTACTGTTGGGGTTCTCTCTTAGGAGAAAGAGGCTGGCCACACTGGCTGGCCGCACCCCTGAACTCTGTGTCCAGGCTCTGTGGTCTTGTCCTCCTCTATAGTCCTGCTGTTGTCCTCTGGCTGCGCTGTCCAACCCTGTGTCCTGAACACATGTGCGGGCATTCAGTGTGCCCACGAACTTCGGGTTCTGCTTTCTTTGGGCGCCCAGTCTCTGCATCGACTGACACGGCGTCGACCGCGATCGCCGACCGTGTCGCCATGAGGAGTTGGATACCATCGCCATGGAGAAGAAGCTCGGCGAGTTGACCCCCTCCGAGGAGTTCATCGCCATGCTCCGGGCGCGGAGCGCCTGGTTTGGCGTGGTCGGGGTGGTGAGGGTTGTTGCGTGCACGGTGTCAAAGGGTGTCCACGGTGTGTCTGGTGCCTTTTTTGGGTGCTTTTCGCACGTGAGGTGGGCGCCGTGGGCAAAATCAGTGGGAGTTGGTTGGAGCCGCTTGGGGGTGGAGGATGTATTTTTGGGTCTAAGACCACCCACCTGAGATGTGTGAGACAGAAGGCTCAGAACCCCAAACAGGTCCAAAATATGTGGGTTCCTATTTGGTGGCAACTGCTAGCAGGATCCCATAAGCCTATGTTTCAGCTGAAGGTCATCTTGAAACTGGGAGGAACATATTCATTCTACAGTATTTCATACTAGTGTTTCCAGTCAGTCCAACATCTGGGTGAAACGTATCACGCATATCAAACATGTCAGCATTCCAACAACCATTGTTGCCGTGGTTGGAATCCCAAACTTCGGGAATTCTACACACCTACTGCAGAGTGGAGCATTGAGTATACCTTGGGTTCTGGAGGGTGTGCTGCTCATTCGACTTCGATCAAAGGAGAAATGGGTATCTTCTAAGGTTGACTCAAGTGATGCGCTTACTTTACAGTGGAGATAAAAGGGGTAATTAGATGATGTGGGAGAGGACGGCCAAACAGTTCTTTCTTTGCAAAGTGCCAGACAGGTCCATGTTTTCTCCATCCGGACATAAGGGCGGGGTGTTGTCGGGCGGCTACTTGGTAATGGTTTCCATCCACCTGAGCTAGGACCAGAACTCCTGATGTTTTAGCGGGGATGTTCTAGCAGGTTGTGGCTGTAGCACACCTGCTGATTGAAGGAGATGATTGAGGTGGCCTTTGTCTGAGCAACGTGAACTGAATGGAGATGAGAACTATCCCAAAGACCCACTCAGTGACAAACATGGAATCCCTTTGTAAAGGAGATATCGCTGCTTTTTTGGGGGGGCGCCATGCCAATGTGAGCATGGGGTCAAGGGTACTCTGAGATGTCAAGACACTGGGGGTCCTTATAGAGCCTTCTTCCAGTTCACCTCCCTGAAAAGCCTTAGCTTCACCTCTCACTTCCTTAACCAATGGACTCTAGCCAGCCCAGCAAGAGTTCCTCAACATCTCTGGACCCGAGCGCAGCAGATCCTTTTGGAGTACACGGGTTACTGTGTCCGCGCTCCCACAACTTCTTTTTACGGGGCAGGGGTGGTTTTTCTTGGATGGATACCATACATAGTGAGGGGATCTTAGGAGGATCTATCAACCACCCGACCCTAGGTGGTCGGGTCCCCTCCTCAGTCACCAAAACCACCTCGCAGCATGTCCAACCCTTCGCCATCCCCTGCGCCCCACGCATTCAACACCCCGAAACGCCCAAGCAGAAATCCGGTCGCACAGAAGAACCCGGTCGACCTCCTCGACCTCCGTCGGCCTTTCCGCGCGAGAGTTCGGCAGCTGCATGGAGGTCTTGATTTGCGCCAACAACTTCATGGCCAGGGTGGAGCTCGAAGACCCCGGCCGCGGCGGCGAGGCGAGGGGCGAGGGGAGTATTGAGTTCGATGCACACGGAGAGAAGGGTTGGAAAGCAATCACGACTGGCCACTGGAGGCAGTGTTTAAGTTTAATCAACAACAAGAAGCACGAACCAGATGGGTGGGATCATTCGCTAAGAGGACAGAATTAGTGACACATTCAATCGTGTTTCACCCATTGTCGACTGTCTTGCTCTTGCGGGGTTGATCGTCAGACCTGAACTGGTTCCTTCGCACCCAGAGAGAGGCTTGAGCGGCGTGGGAAACATCCAGTGCCGCCCTGCCTTCAGGTGAAATTGGAAGCGATGGATGTTCATCACTCAGTGACAACATGGCTCGGGTGGTGGGGGAACTACAGTGAGGCTTTTTGAGAGGTTTTGCACGTCACTTAGCTTCACCATTAGGTGATGGGCTCTTGACATGCAGGGGGTAGACTGGTCTATTTCCCGAACCTTCCTGAGGAGCTTTTTTTCATCTTTGGAAGTCCAAACGCACCGGAGTTGACATTCAGAGCAAATTCTCCAATGAACTCTGGATCGAAAGGTATCTCTCTCTGTCATCGCCCACCACTCCGCCTCGGCCACCCCTCTCCGCCTTCGCCGCGGCCGAACGCGCTCGGTGCGCTGGTTTCTCGCCGTGGCCGCCCACGCGGCGCTCGCCGCGGGCTCCGCGCCGAGTCCAGCTACGTGAGTCTGCTGACCGAAGCGGAGAAATCCAAAGATTCCCTCGCCGGGGACCCGAAGTCGGCGACGCCAGGGATTCGGAGATGGGATTCGGGGCTGCAGCCAAGGTGTGAATCATGTGGTTCATGGTCACTCTTATCAAGCCCACAAGGTGAAATTGGCTGGAAGATATTCATATACCCTATGGATCCACATTGACATACACTTTGGGACGGTCATTGGAAAGACTGCAATGTTGGTTTGGAGGGTCCAAGTACCTTCTGAGAAAGTATGTGGATCCCTATAGGGATACTCAGACCCAGGTGTTGAGGTCAATTTGTCCTGTGTCCTGAAGGTGCTTTGTCTTTGAAGCCTCGATCTTGAGCGGGGTGTAGGTTTGTAGTGTCACTTTTTTTGCCACACGAAGCATGTCCACTGGCAGACTGCAAAATGACATGCGGCTGGTATGGGCTGATGGTGGCTTGGTCAATTGCCTACCCTGTGTGTAGTGTCGGATCACCCATGCAGCCCCTACCATGCAGGAGACCTAGACAAGCCGCTCTGAGGATCCACGTTCTTGTAGTCCTGGGTGTCTTCAGTCTTCCTAAAATTCGTTGGAAGCTCTGCTTCCAGAATTGGCTCCCAATGTTCATTTGTTGGTACTCTTTAAAGGGGTTGACCGCAAGGACTGCTTCTCGTTTCCTGAATCCAAGGACTGCTTCGCGGCTCCGCTCGCTCATGGTTTCTCCCCTCACTTGTGGCGTGAAGCCCGTGAAGTTGGAAAGCTCCTGAGATCTCAGATCGCCTCGGTACGTGAAACACCAACGAAAAACTACCACGCGCCCTCATCACGCACCGAACCCGTTCGAACCTCCGCGGAACCTCCGCGGGAAGCTCCGCGGGAAGCTCCGCGGACTCGAACCGTCGCTTCGAACACAACGCGCCGAAGCCTCGGCGGAGCGGCGACTGCTTTGGTGGTGAAGACCTCAGGTGAAGCATGCCATAAACCCACTTGCACAGGTGCTGAGTAAGGTTTCCGGCACAGCTCAGGTGCTTCAAGCTCTGCGGCATGATTTCAGGAGCTCGGACCACGTGTTTGGGGGACGGGACCCACCGGGGACGGGACGGCGTGGAACAGTGCTCCGAAGCAAGCAGGAATCCTCCCAGATAGGCGGCACCGACGTGAGAGGTGTGGGTCGGTGTGGGTAGGTAGAGGGAAGACTGCACAGGAGACGCAGGAGATCCAATAGGCTGAGGAAGGAAGATCGACGAGTCCACCCCTTGGGCCAGCTCCACAACGAGAACACTCTCGTTGCTAGAGAGAGGGAATTGGTGGGAATTGTATGGGATTCTTTCTTCATCCATCTTCATCCCTAACACCAATTACTAAAGCCAGTTATTCTTCCTGAGCCGACATGGGGGAAGTGCTTTGCGGAAAGGTCGATGACATTTGCTTTTAAACCGAAAGGTTTCGGATCCTGTTAAAGACCATTTACGTTATAATTATAGTAATATACTTACTGTATATTTATATATATATGGGATGAGGTGAATTGATCTTGTTGCGTCTAGATCTTTGGAACATATATGTTTAAAGCATATTTAAGGGGCTGACGCCCCTCAGCGGGCCAGCAGGCCCACCATCAGAGGTTGTGTATTTTCTAAGTAAGCATCGTACACTTGTGTATATATACCTCATACCTCGACCGCTTTGGCTCAAGGCCCAAAGGCCCACGTCGACGACGACGACGACGGCGACGACAAGAATCAACACCAACACCAACACCACCACCACCACCAACCACCACCACCACAACCACCACCACCACCACCACCACAAACACAACAACAACAACAACAACAACAGCAGCAACAGCAACAACAACAACAACAACAACAACAACAACAACAACCACAACCACAACCACAACCACAACCACAACCACAACAACAACCACAACCACAACCACAACCACAACCACAACAACAACGACAACCAGTGGTGGGCCCCTGGCCGGCTGTCGGGCGTCAGCCCTGGAATAACCTTCGGATACACCGAAGGCCCTCTGGGCGAAACACAGACGCCGGCGCCCGGATTTAAAGGCTTACGCCTGACAGCCGGGCGCCGGCGATCTTGGGGCTATGTTGGCCCATCCTGGGGCTATGTTGGGCATATGGGCCTATGTTGGACCATCTTTGGGCTATGTGGGGCGGTGTGGGCCCATTTTGGGCTTGTGTTGGGCATCTAAGGCCTATGTTGGCCCAGCAAGGGCCTATGTTGGGCCATCTGGGGCCCATGTTGAGCCTATCTTGGGCCTATGTGAGCCTATCTTGAACCTATGTTGGCCTATCCGGTACCCATGTTGAGCCTGTCCTGGGCCTATGTTGGCCCATCTTGGGGCTATGTTGGCCCATCCTGGGGCTATGTTGGGTCTTTAAGGGGCCGATGTTGTTGGATGGACATGGAAGATCATGAGGTGCAGAAAACACTGTAAAGCACAGGGGTCCTCACAGGTCCGCGGTTGGAGCGTTGGGGGTCGGTAGGGGGCGCGCCCCCTATAACCTTCGCTTAACCGAAGAAGGCCCTCCGGGCGAAGCACGGGACGCCGCCGCCCGGATTTAAAGGCTTACGCCTGACAGCCGGGCGCGGCCGGGGCAGGGACGAGAGAGAAGGAAGGGATAGGGAGGAAACAGGTGGGAGACCTCGAGAAGGAGGCGGACTGTCCTGTAGAGGTTGATTCTCCGACATGTCTAGCCCGGACGCTTCTCGCCGCAACCCCGAAAACACCGTAAAACACATGGCTTTCGCACGCGTTCAATCCAGTCGCAGCCCCGCAGACACTGTAAAGCACATGCTTTTCGCACAGGTTCAATCTAGACGCTTCTGTCTGCAACCCCGAAAACTCTGTAAAGCACATAGTTCTCGGACATGTCTACTCCAGACATTTCTTTCCGCAACCCCGAAAACACCGTAAAGGACATAGTTTTCGGACATGTCCAGTCCGTGCTCTTTCTCTTCTGGTTGATGCCGCCTGGGGCCTATGTTGGCGCAGCTTGAGGCTATGTTGCACCATCTTGGGACTATGCTGGGCATATCTGGGACCTATGTTGGGTCATCTTGGGGTCCTCTGTCAGGGCATCTTGGGGCACATTTCCCGCCATTGATGTTGGCGCGCGCCCAGCACCCACAAAATGCCGACTATGCCTGTCCGCGCGGCGCGCGTTACCGACACCACCCTTGGAAAACACAGCGTTTTTGCATTTCTCCATCTTCACCGCGCTGCCTCTTCCACGCGCACAAAACCCTGTAAAACGCAGTGCTTTTAGTGTTGTTTGCACCTCACCCACACAATACACTGTAAAGCACGCGACCTGAGGTGAAACACGGGGTGGGCCGGAGGTGGGTCGGCGGCAGGGGGCGCAGCCCTATCCGGCCAGGGGTGAGAAGCGCCCCGTTGGCCGTGTCCCTCCAGGGGAATTGCCTGCTTCTGCGAAGCAGAAACCCCAGGTGCGGGACCCAGAAAACTCAGTGTTTTTGATGTTTTTTTTTCCGCTCTTGTTGCTCACCATGGGTCAACATAGCCCAACATAGGCACCAATAATGCGGTAAATGCATGCCGCACCGGGGTGCTTCGTCGGCATCGTGGGCGGATGTTTGGCCGATGCTGGCACTGCATTGCCCCAACATGGGCTCAAGCTGAGCCAACATGGGCCCAAGATGGCCCAAGCAAGACGCAAGCTCACATAGCCCCAAGACCGCGCAACAAAGGCTCCAGATGGCCTAAGCCAGACCCAAGCTGTGCGCAACCGCCACCAGAACCACAACACCAACACCAATACCAACCACAGTACCAAACACCCCTCGGAATGCCGCACCCTCAGCAGCTGCGGCCACTCCCTCAGCCTGCGCCCGCGCCCTTAAATAACCTTCGGTTACACCGAAGGCCCTCCGGGTGGCCTGTCATGGGTTCAGAGACCCCGGCTTTAGTGGAGTAATAATGTCGGGCTGGACTTTCAGAGGAGTCATCACCAGCTCTATGAGGTCATTGATTTCAGTCAAGAGCTCGAACCTCTGAACATAGTGTGGAATGAAGGATGGATCTGGCCAGCTGAAGTGAAGGATATTCGACTGGCGACACACGGGCTGGCCAGGCCTGGGGCCGGCGACCCCGGAGAAAATGTGAACCTTTGCGCGCAAGGCGCGCGGCTGCAGTCACGCAGGGGGACGGTGCCCGGATGTCGTTGTTGGAGATTTCAGCGGGCTGGCTCAGGCTGGTCTGAAGGTATGTCTCAGCGGCCGGTTGCAGAGGTCGAGCAGCTCTAGGAAGCGAAAAATGGCGTCAGCATACGGAGTGCATTTTTGGCAGATATGTTTGTGGGCGCGCTATCCCGTTGATGCTGTGGGACGTGAAGAATGCGCAGGCTTCGCATGCGGAAGGGCAAGAGATCGCGATTTGCTTCGCAGAATCCAGGAGTCTGTTGCCATCGGAGCATTCAGGAGGAGCGGACGGGCTACTTTAAGTTTTTGGCGAATCCTATGTCATGGTGATGAATTCCCCCGCGCGCCCAGTTGAGACCAAGAAGATATTGAGCGAAAGGTTGCGCGGCCCTCAGAGCGCCCAGCCAACTCCCCGCGTGACCAAACACCCGGGCAAGGTCTCGCTCGAGGCGAGGGTGAAGGAGCTACAGGCTCGCGTGGCGGATGTTGAGTACCAGTACAAGCAAATTGCTGAGTTTGGCTCCAACACCAGCTTGATTCGTTTGCTTGGAGTAGCAGCAAGGCAGGTGGCTGGGGCAGGGGGCTAGGTAGTGCCGCCCGGCGGTGGAATGAAAAACGTTAGGCGCGCAAGCGTTAAGTGCACATGAAAGAAGCTACTGAGCGTCACTGTCGCAGGATAGGCAACTGTCTCTGCGCTATAATCCCGAGTACCTATTAAAAAAGGACCCCAATTAAAAAAAAGTCATGTCGGATCCCCCTAAATACAGTTTATAATTGTTTACTAATTACCGCCCTTTCAGAAACTACCAACATGGCCGATTTTGGATGTTTTTTCTTATTAGGTTCCAAAAACAACCTGCCCACCTCTGTCCGCCCTGTCTATCCACCACCATGACACGCCGCGCTTACACCAGCAGGCTTTCCTTCCCCCAATGGCACGGACTCACGCAAACGCACTTGCCACCGAGGTCGTGCAACACCGCATGGCACAGCGACATCACCTTTCGAAAGCTTTAGCTGTTAGTCTACTGAAGAATCACTATTCTATTGAAGGTTTTTGTAGGGGAAAAGGAAGACCCTTCGATCTGGAGGTTTTTTGCATTTTTGATACGAGTTTAATAAAGGATTTTATATAAAATTGTCCTGATTATTTTTGGTTTTGAAGGCCCGTGTTTTTTAATAGGTGGACCGGATTAGTATGCATGTACAGTCAGTGATGGAGCGGAGCAACGACGTATCATTCGCCTCTCGGAGCTCCCGGTCATCTGCTTCGCCACAGCTTTCCACAATCAAATTCCACTCCAAAAACGACTGCAAAGTCGTCCTCGGAGCTGCTCTCTCAGCTCCCATGTCCGAACTTTCGATGCCAAACAGGGTGTCTGGATCACTAGAAAAAGACAACTATTCTAGAGGGTCTGGATGACTAGAACAAGCTTCGAACCTGACCTATGTGTCTTCTGCTCGATCTGCTCGAAAAAGCACATGGTTCGCATTCCGAGTGTCTATAATTCCGAGTGTCTATATAGTTGCCAAAGACCCCTTCAAAAAGCTCCGAAAGCTCCGAAAAGGGCTGATCCCGCCACAGCTTTCCCCCATCTAATTCTGTTCCGAAACAGGCCTCCCATGTCCGAACTTTCGATGCCAAACAGGGTGTCTGGACCACTAGAAAAAACAACTATTATAGGGTCCGGACGACTAGAAAAGGATACCCGACCTCCGCCAATGTCCCCAAGACCACCGACTTATAAACATGAATAATGCGTCCTCAGACCTCCTCTCGGAGCTCCCGGCTATCTGCTTCGCCACAGTTTTCCACAATCTAATTCCACTCCAAAAACGACTGAAAATTTGTCCTTTCCAACCGTCGCTTTCTGACCAATAAAAATTTTTTCTTCTCCTCTTCCAGGAGCCGTTCTCGAGGCGCACACCCGGCCTCCACCAATGTCCCCACCACCAACGACGTATCATTCGCCTCTCACAGCTCCCGGCAAGCACAGCTTTCCACAATCTAATTCCACTCCAAAAACGATTGCAAAGTCGTCCTCGGAACTGCTCTCTCAGCTCCCATGTCCGAACTTTCGATGCCAAACAGGGTGTCTGGATCACTAGAAAAAAAACACTATTCTAGAGGGTCTGGATGACTAGAACAGGATACGAACCTGACCTATGTGTCTTCTGCTCGATCTGCTCGAAAAAGCACACGGTTCGCATTCCGAGTGTCTATAATTCCGAGTGTCTATATAGTTGCCTGGCCTCTTCTGCTCCAAAAAGCACAAGGTTGGCACTCCCAGCGCCGCATCCGCAGTGCGAAGGACCTTGGGAATGCTGCACAGTAAGACGCAAGGGATGTTGGAGGCATTCCCTGCGCACACAGAGGGGGGGGCTGCCAGTTTGGTTTCTGCAAGGGATCTTGGCGGTTGTAGAATGTTGTAGATGGGCATGGGTTGAAATACCTGGTTCGTGGGCCCTCTTCAGCACTTGGAAGAATCTTGTTGGATTTTTGTTCGACTAGCCCTAATGAACAAAATGGATTACTAGGAGGTCGCAAGCAGTGTCAAACACTCAAACACTCACCTGCTTTTGAGGTGATTGGGGAATATTTAAGACACCGGATGGTACTTTCCAAACAATGTTCTCTATTTGAAATGCTTCCATATTCCTTCTACTCCACGGTGACTGCATTTTAAAAGCCATTCTTCCTGCAAACATTTCGGACCCATCAGAGGGGTTTGTGACTAGGCGATCGATTAATTCTTGAACAACAATCACTTGAGAGACAGAAAAAGGTTCGAGGTGTGAATCTTCTTGACCTTACAGACTTGGTCGTTAGGGTGAGTCCACACCTCTATGTCTTCAGAGTGGTCATCTACCCTGAAGACTATAGAGATTGAATTACTCTTGATGGGGACAGTGTTACTGTTACTATTTCACATTGTTCGATGTGGCCTCTATTTATCATGTTTTCGAAAGCCAAGGACACGACCTCTCAGATGTCAGAGGGAGCAGTGGTATGCTCCCTTCATTTGTTTCTCATGCCCGGCGGAGAGCATGTGGGTGACCCGGGAAGAGATGTGACGACACCATGCTTTGCTCAGCCAAAAAACATCACTGCGATACATGACAGACTGTGACAGACAGACATGCTGAAAAGACTTTTTGCTTTGCATGGATGGATTAATTTGGAATCTGCTGGAGGTATAGATGGATTGGGATGGTATCAACAGCCAGCCAGATTTGGTTGTCATCCCTGTTTCATGCAAATCCTGATCAGGTCTAACAGGTTTGCCATGGTTTGCCTGTGTCACAGGGATGCTTGTTTTGGTGATCACATCTCGGATTCTTCGAATACTCTTCTGGTGTTATTCCCAGACGCCACCTGTCTGGGACTGCCATAGGACTGCCACCCCAGACAGACCCCCCAAAACCAACCACCCCTTGGCCATTTCTCGGCAGTCCGGACTGGCAGTCCTGGAGTGGATCTGGGATTGCTTCAACACCTGCTGGGTGGATCGGGAAGTCAACGATAGAGCTCTCAGGTCGACAGCGGCTTAGTATCGCGCATGGGCCGCCAGGGTGTCACCGTTTCGTTGGATCAGAGTCTGCCAGTTCACCCCCCACCACACCTGGCAAAAGGGATTAGTTGGGTGTTGACCCAACCCTCAAATCAAACCGTGCTGTTGGTTTTAGGTCGTTTCTTTTTGTTTCCGACGTACTTCGCCTTTTGGGGATTCGATCCTACAAAAGAGCCACTCGCCACGTCAGGCCGTGGGTGGCCCGATAACCGTCGTCTTCCGAAAGGAGGACCCAGAACCACATCCCGAAACTCGGCCAGGTCGTCAAGCTGTCGTTGAACCAAGGGCAGGCGATCGCCGTTGAGCGCGTCACGCGGCCCGGCCCGTCGTGTTGCCGGAGCACCGACCCTACCCGCGCACGAAAGCCGTGTCTGGCTGGAGGGGCGCTGGCTTGGAGGTTTGGAGAGGGGTTGGAGAGCGGGCACTCTGAAGCCAGTGATTGTTGGGGGTGGCGGAAGAAAAACGTTTTGAGCAGGTGACGGGTGAAAAGTGAATTTTAGCCGAATGGGGGTGATCCTTTGGTAATCCCATCATTTGGGATTCCATCATGGATTCTGGATGATGGGATTGATTGAAAGAATCAATTTGGTTCTTTGCGAGAAAAGATGAGGGTCTCAGAGTCCTCCAACAGGTTTTGGGGGACCCGAAGGAAGACCAGTGGTGTCCCTGTTTTTTGAGCTTTCTAATAGCAAAGACCCCAGGTTCCAATGTCAAATGACATGTACATCCTGGTTTTGCTTAAGCCGTTTATGTTTTGCATTGATTTATGTTCCTATGGTTAAGTCCCTTCCTGGTGAATCCTGTTCAATCCTTTTTAGTAAGGTTCCTTAAGCAAATCCAAGACACACATTCTGCACATGTAGATTGAAGTATTTCATGAAGACCGACACGAGTCTTGTCGGACTTTTGAGAGCGAGTGCTCCCAGTTGCTCATCGAAGTCTCTTGCTTGCTACTAACTACAAACAAGAAAGCTTTCTGTCAAGGTTTAGGTCTTGGCTTCAATCATCCCTCTCAAAAAACGACAGGGAAATTCCTCTTGAAGAAAGCATGGCCTTCAAAACCTCTGGGAATTCTCAAGAAGACCCCGTCCATTTCAATTTTGTTTGGAGCGGATGGCTTTGACCCTAGCCTTCCAAGACAATGTAAAGGATGCGTTGACCTGGTTTTGTAGTGTAGAATCTTCCAGATTTGGGGAACATTTGCAGTGTCTGCAGGCCTCATCGTTGGTCGCTGCGGTCGTGGAGTGCTTGACTGGTGACTGGGTGTGCGAACAGCGGACCACGGGCGGTCTGGGCTGGAGGAGATCCGATCGGTGGGTTGAAGAACTCATGTAAGATGATGTAAGGATGAGATAAAAGAGTCCTTTCATCTCAAGCAACCAGCATACAGTCAGTAAAGTTCAGATTGTCATACCTCCTCGCTGAACTGACTTAGCTCTATGATGCTCTATGGTCTATGGGCTGAAGGAAGAGTTGTTCCGAAAGCCACCATAGATGTTTGTTTTGTTGGGAAGGTGTTGTTGAATGTCTTGGACACTGGAAGGTAGCACAAACCTTCCAAATAGTCGAAGCACCCTGTAGATTGAAGGTTTGGAAGTATTTATCTTATGTTGGATAGTATCCATAGAGGCTGCTGGAAAGATTTCTTGAGTGCACATAGAGACCAGCCATGCTCCCTGAGAGTTGGCTTTGCTGCTTCTTCCTGGCACCTGTAGCAACACCCCGCTGCGAGCCTGCAGGAAAAACGCAACATATAGCTAGGGTATAGGGGTCTTCTTCTTGAAATGGCCATTCCAACCTCAGCCGGAAGATTTCCGCCCATTTGGAGCAGGTCTGCGCAGCGGAGATGATCATCCACTCATAGCTGCCACAACATGCCACAACTCATTTTTCTTTGTTTGCCCCCCCCCAGAGGTCACAGGCATCAACCGCCCTTGGGTGTAAAAAAGAACACCACTTGTTTGGCCCCTAGATTTGATTCCACTTCCTCAGGGCACCGCCGGGCACCGCTTTGGTCCTTCGTTCCCAGGTCTCACCTTCTTGAGCCCTTTGAGTGTTCGACGCCCCGGTGGGTGGTTCCACGCGGGCACGGCGTGGGGCACGGCGGGGGCGAATCGATGTTTCACCGGTGGCACGGTCGAAGAAAGGGGGGCGAATCAAGACCTATCATCATCCTGGAGTACATAGAATGTGATCCCCCCCCAAAAACATGACCAGTTTCTGAGTGTTTTTTTCAATATTCTATCTAGTCCAGGATGACTACTAGATCTTCAAGCAGGAGAAGAACGGACGGAGCTGTGGTCTTGAGGGGTCGGCTCTGTTTCACCAGACGTGTCGTCCTGTGTCGTCCAGTGTCGAAGGACGTGATGTCCGGTCTGCCTCGGTGAGCCGAATAGAGGCATTTATTTTTGTACCACAGAAAGTGGAACTTGGGACATGATCAGAGAAGGTACCATGAATCTAGACTCTCCAGGAGAACGACTTCTGTCGGGGTGGTGTGTTTGGAGTGGATGTGACAGGGGCACATCCCCGACTTGCCCGACGGCACCCTCCATGGATAGAACCCTATTGGAACTGCTGGCAGAATCAGTTGGACGCGTCGACCAGTTTTTTCACTCAACGACAGAAAATCCTGGTGCCAAGGAGGCGGAGGCCGATGCTGGGTCAACAGGATCGCGTTGAGCTCCTACTTCGTGACCGAAAGGAAAGGTTGTTCATTCTGGTCCACCTCGACTTCCCAGATGACTTCTCATTTAGCAACCTTTGTGCGCCAGCCTTTCGACTGGACCATCTGGACCGAAGAAATCCTTCATCGTTCGTTACATCGTCCAGTCCGTCAGTCTCCACAGCAAAGTCCAAGAGTTCCGATCATTGATTGGACTTCAGCACCCGAAATCCCAACGGATTCCCATTTTTGGTTCCGTTGAAGAAGATGCAGGGATTGAATAGAGATCTTGGTCCCTCAAAACCCTAGGGATTTGAGGGTCCGGACCCCTCCATATGAGGGTCCGGCCTCTACTTAGGAGGGTCCAGGGTCGCGTCTGGGATATAGAGATAGCCACTCCCCAAATCCCCCAAATCCCCAAATGGATCGGATTTCCACCCCCCCAACCACTCCTTGCAATCCTGCGCAACCACCCCCGTCTTCCTCTTCCTCGATGGGGCAGCGGACCGGCCGAGATCCGGGCGCCCTTGGTGGCCTACAGGATTTCACTGGGATGCTCGGAGGGCCCAGCTGAGACCGGCAGATGGATGGAATCCCAAGAGAACTGAAGGATGGATGTGTGTAAAGGTCTAAGGTCATAGAGGTGTAGAAGCAGAAGGTTTAGATGTATTGGTCTCCAGGTGATGGTGATGATGGTTGTGATAGTGGTGATGGTGGCGGCACTGATGGTGATGGGTGGGAGGAGGACCCCGGGTCAGTGTGCTCGGATGACCAAGTGAAGTTGCTGGCACCAAGCTGCTCGTCGGCTACGGCGCTGATTTTGAGTTGCTCCAATACGTATACGACCACCTTTGGACCGATCTCAGCAAGAAAGGGCAAGCCGCAGGAGAAACCTCCATGCGTATCATGACATGAGCGGGCACCCCATGTCCCCCATCTATTGATTTACAGGGCGGGGTGATGCCATGTTATACCCGCGGGCGCAGTAGCTTGGCTTCCTGAGCCCGCCCTTCCAAATCCGCTCCAGAACCCATGCGCACGGGATTTTGGGGCAGAGACGCCCTGAAGCAGGTTACTGGGCTCGCGCGGGGCACTGGACCGAGGGGCTTTTGGGGTGTTCTTCTGCACGGGCTGCGCCAGCAGATGTGCTCCGTGCTCTTCGGTTTTGGGGTTTTGCAATCTCCGTTCAGGTTGAACAAAAACGTAGCGCAAGCGCTAGAAGAGAGCTGAGATCGAAGGTTACAAGTGGGATCATGTAGGTTTGTTCTGAGGGTAGCCTTGGCATCCCTGCCAGATGTTGTGTTTTCAATTTCAGTTTCAGTTTCAACTGACTTGGCCAACAAACAGTGGATCTATTCCAAGATTCACGTGGCTTCGACTTCATCCACCAGCATCCCCCAGGCCCTGAGTGGCTACAACCGAGCTTGATGGCGTCTCTCGGCCCCAAATAGGGCGTGATGTTGGCATCGATTTCTGCAGCGCGCCATGGGTTTCTGTAGTTCTCATGTCCATAGATCTATATCAAACATGCCAACAAGCATGGTGCGTGACCCGGAAGGTCTAAGAAAGCAGAAAGCAGACAACGATACGTTCTTTCCACGTTCTTTGGTTGGGATCAAGGCCGTTCATGCCTTGTTTTGACGTCAACGTTCGATGTGACCAGGGTACAGTCTTCCAGGGCACCAAGGCCCCTTCGCTGGGAAGTCAAGCAGAAGGTCTGTGGTGGTTGGAAGGTCTCTGATGGCTTTAGAGTTGGGAGCCCGGGCGGACCTGGGGTCTAGAGATCTGGAGGTCTGTTCAAGATGGAAGTGGAACATGGCCTCTACGGATTGAGGGGATTTTCACCCCTGGTGTCGCAGACAAATCGTGAACCGCCCTGGACAACACCATGGGTCAATATCTCTAGCAGGGCTGGCCAAGGAGACGGTTTTGTGAGGGTTAAGGGATTGGCAAGATCCATTCACATCCGTTTCTACATGCCAGGTCACTTTGTGACCTGTTTCCTCTTCTTGTGTGAGCCACGAGGTTGCATACCCAGACCAGAGGACCGACGTTCGCAAAGCGAATCTACCTCAACTGACCTTCTTTCCAAGCCAATCCTCCCAATCCCCCCAAACAGCCAATGAAAGAAAACGTTTTTGTGAACGTTCCTTTCAGGCTGCTGCCCATCCCAGTCCACCAACTTCTGAAAACCTCTCAACGGCTCCCAAGTCAGACTTGGTCCACCCATCAAGAGCCAGCTTACAGCAACCCATGCGAACGTCAAGCTGCCCCAAGAAACTTCCGCGGACACCGCCGAGGGGAATAGTTTGGGAACTCCAGCAATCTGCCGGCTCTGGTGAAAAAGGGACTTGGACAGACGCCCAGGCTGATTGCGAATGCCTTGGCAGATCCTGCTCGGATCAACCAATTTGAGGAGGAGCAATGGGGGTCAGAACGAAACATCCAAGTCAACACATCCGAGTGGTGAGCTGCTTCCAACTGAATTCGCCGTCACCGATCCTATACCTGGTCACACTTGTCGAATTTCAGGCACCGCAGTGGCCGCAGTGGCTTGAACTTCATGGTTTCAACATGTTACCCTGGGAGTCCAGTCGACTATACAAAGGATGGTCTGACTAGGTGACTAAGTGACCCGAGGTTCGGAATTTCCTTTACTCCAGTCGGTCAAAATATCGTCGAACTGGACTTCCAACATGTTACTGTACAACCATCGCTGAGACTGGCGGACTTGCTTGGGGGGTAGGTCATCAGAGTTGTATTACCGCTGGTTACGTGGATGGCACTGCCATGCCATGCACATAATCATGATTATTCCAGGGAGTGTGTAAGCTGCTGGAAGCTTTTGGAATAGGAGACAATGCAAACGGACACAACAGCTGTTTTTAGTTGTCCTTTCAATGTATATAATTGTCCTTTTGCTTTTGTTTCTTTATCATTATGTATTTGTTCTTTTCTCAGGTGTTGGTCTGTTTTTGCTTTTCTGTATTTATACCTTTCTTAGTTCTTCCATGCCTTTTTTTTTTGCCTCTCTTTGCACTTGATGTTGCGCCTGTCTTGGTGACACGCCAAGGCCGTCCGCTTGTTTCAAGGGCCACACGTTCTGCTTTCCGGCTCCACATCCAGTACCACGGGGCAACCACCAAGAAACAAATCAGGACGGGTCAATACCAATCATCTCATATATAATTCATCGGGAAAACTATGACATGTTGCATATTTCCCAAGCACTGTGAAATGATCAATAGCTTATATACCCTGGGAGTCAAAGACTATAAAAAGAATGGTCTTTAGAGGACCCGAAGTTCGGAACTTCCTTTACTTCAGCCGGTCAACATATCGTCGAACTGGACTTCTGGGGTATATACAACATGTTCTATTGTTGTAGAACCACGTGCAAACCACGTCTCGATGTCTTTCTGTTTGCACGCGTGTTTGCGCGTGCGCTTGCCGCTGGGGTGGAAGACGACGACGACCAGCGATGGGATCGATGGGACCAAAGGAATGAAATGAAGGGCCGGGAGAGGCCCCAAGGGGTCTGACCTAGAAAGGGGTGAAGTTGGATAAGTGGGTCATGTTGTCCATGCTTGAACCCTTCTGGGTTTGTCCCTTCTGGGTTCAATACTTGGGTTTGTTTGTTTGTCCATGCTTGAACCCAGAACAGGGGGGCGTCTAATGAACATCCCCTCGCTATGCATGGACACCCCACAAGGCGAAGGTTGGGGACCGCTGGTGCAAGGACGAACCCGAGTGTATGCTCCGCGCGCGATCGGTGCGGAGGGCCCAGAAGTTGAGGGTTGGGAGGAGTTCATTGGAAGCAATGGTCGGTCCGTTTCGTTTCCGGTTTTAAACGACGGTGGTGTGGCAGAGCAGGTCGGTTTATAAGTGTCTCTTCTTCCGCTGGCAGTCCGCGGAAACCAACAAAACGGCGCCCGGTGATGCCCCGTGATGCCGGAAACAATCAGATCGTATGCAAAACCAAGGGGGTTCCTCCTGCATGATATGATATTTCGAAGCATCTGAAAAGCTCCATGTGGGGCTGAATGTTCCATACGTTGTCCCTTACGCCCCATCGCCGACCGACGTCCGTGCGTCCGTGCTGCGGATCGTTTGTATTCTTCACCGGACATGATGAGACTCCCTCACAGAATCCCTCAGGTATCAACACCATGTAGATACCGAGTGGTGCAAGATTTTGTTCATAAACTGTGCAAATCACTCATTAGGTTTAGTCAGATGGCTCATCTTGTGCCCCACCACCTGATCCACCTGGCCACCCCACCCAGCTTTCTATGGAACATGTTTTCTTTGGTTTCTCAATATGAGAGAACTTCTTGGAAGGAGCCATCCTCAACGACAGCATTCTGCATTTCGATGAAAAAAAGACGTCGAAACTTCCCTCGAAGCCACATGTGACACATACTCCCCTGCAGATTAACATGGAACCCCCAAACTACTGGGTTGTAGAGGAAAATACTCTTCCACGGGTCAATTCTCAGGTTCTATGTTAGTTTGGGGGAGTATCACTCTGAGTATTTCGAGTGACAGTGTGGCAGGATTCAAACCCCTTCCAGGAATGCCGAGTGGACAAATCCCAATCCGACGGGTGGATTTTCTCATGTGTCTTGGATGAAGAACTCTGTTTCAACTCAGAAGACATTTAAAGACCGAAAGCAGCTTGTCTACCCAAAATGGTTTGATGTTTTGTTGTCATTGATTGTCATCGGTTCACTGTTTCACATACTGAAAGGGACTCAGATGTCTGACTCTTCGAGGGGGGGGCAGCAGGTTTCAACATCGCTACCAGCTTCCCAGACCCAACCGGCGCCACCAGCTTTGGCGCAAGCATGGATGGAAGTCCTGACAACCCAACAAAAACCGCGCCATTGTCGTTTGCCTTGGTTAGGTGGCCGACTAATAACCAATACCCCGCGTCTCCCCCCCAAACAAGAGATCCAGAACAGTGTTTAAGGTCGCCCACCGGCTAAGTACCTTGCCCAAAAATTCCAAAGCCACGCCAACGTGTCACCCCCAAATCCCGAGTGCCAAGGATAGCAGCGATCCATAAAAACAAAGAGCCAAACGGATCACCTCTTGTTCTTATGGAAAACCAAAAAAGCCACCCCCCCAAAACAAAGCCAAGTGCTCAACAGATCACCCCGGATCACCCAAACCGATGCCCAAAGGATCAAGTGCCGAGGATCACCTCTTCCCCATGCTGGCGACTTCCACCCTGGAGATTCGCCAGAAGGTCCTTGGAGCCCCTCGCTGGCAGCCTGGGCGGTGTCGCCCTCCAGCCCGCGCGACCGGTCAGGGCGGCGCGGACCCTAGGGAAGTCCCTGCTGAAATGGTGTAGCCTGAGTAGTCAAACCATAGACCTACCATGTGGCCAAGCTTGGGCAAGCTCTTTTTTGGGGGGGACGCGATCGGCTATAGATGGGGTGAACCCCTCCCACAGAAGAAGAATAGAATGGATCAAAGGCGAAGCAGAGCTATTTTTTCCAAGGAAAGTGAGGGAGTCAGAAGATGGCCTTTGACTGTCGTTTGGGTGGATCAATAGAGGGGATACCCCCGGTCATGTGTACATCCAATAATACCAAATCAACACCTCTATAAAAACCACCCAAGGGACAATCTTAGAGTGGAAGAGCATGGTTCTTGACATGTCTTTGGACCAGGGGAGCTTCTGGTGTTGGTCAGGGGCTGTAAATTCAAGCTTGGGAATAGGCCTGCACGCCACTTGATTCAGCTCCAGGCGTGTAGAAATGGATGGGACCTTTGGGTGTTTTTGGACTCTTTGGCAATGGAGTGACCAGGGAGTTCGGTTTCCTTGGCCCCAACCGGTTCGGTTTGCTGACGAGCTCCGGTCAAATCCGATCACCGCACATCAAACCCGTTGATTTGTTGATGTTGGTTGACTCATTTGGACCATCCAATCCATCATGACATATATATATATATATATTTTAAATAGAGCCTGTCCGACCCTGAGTTCCGACAAGACCAATTGAAGCTCCATTTCGCAGGGTTGGCCTTCCAACCAAAGACACACCACCCCCCTTCGAGTGCCCAAACGAGTCTGTCCGAGTCCGACCATTCGCTTCACACCGGGCGAACGAGCGACCGAACACGACCGAAAACGACCGACGGGGTCTTTCGAGGTGCTGGCGAACGCGGCGGCACAAGATGAGCTGCTGGAGACTGGCATTGGTGAAAGTCAGCTGTGATTGGTGAAAGTCAGCTGTGGACTGTTGATTCAGTGTGGTGATTTGAGCCATGCAGCTCATGTTTGTAGTATTTTGACATCGTGAATATTAAAGATATCCTTGCTTGGGTTTGTCCTATGACATGTAACAGTCAGGAATAATTATTACTATTTTTGAACAAGGCCTTTACTAATCATCATCCACTGGGCCCAGGTAGACTCGGATAGACCCAAGTCATTGCGAATGGAACATGTCATTGAAGGGTGACAGAAGACACCGTCTTTATGAAGGGGGATTGTTCTTGCGGTGTGAAAGTGGACACTGCTGTTCTTCAAGTATCCAAGCACCAAGATATCCAAGCTGTTTTGAATGCGGGAAGAGACCCACATGGAACCTGGACTGCTGGACCAGAAAAGGAAGACGATGTTCCTCTACAAACCGGGGGTGGTTTTCACTCAGGTTCCAGGTCGGTATCTTTCAGAGGGTAATTGATCTGACGATGTTGACTGTTCACTGATTAACATTCATCGCTGTTGGTGAACATCTCCACGACGAACAGTCAACAATTGCTGACTCCCTGCAACTCAGTGACCTACATCGATTTGGGTGTTTTGGGGGTGCAAGCCTGAACCTGAAAGGTTTTCGTCTACGGGAGGCTTCGACGAAGTTCCTCCCACAAGCACGTGACCTTCTTCAGCTGAACGGATGACTTCCTTTCATGAAGCATCTCCTATGCTCAATCGATCACGCTCCACACCAATGATGTTGGTTCCACGTCACTCCTTCGCGGGTCTGAGAAAAAACGGATACCTCAACCTCCCTATAGCTGTGAAATCCTTCAGCTGTCAACCATTGGTCAGGAAAAACTGGTCCAGCACCGGGACAAAGGATTTGATCAGTGGTTTGGAAAGTGCGACTAAATCAGTACGACCACCAGCGAGTCACATCGTGATTCAATAACCAGGAGTCACGCTCGTCACGGTGCCGAACTTGGAGGATGGGGGTCACCCCACTCACATCCACTCACTTATATAGGCTTATATAGGGACTAGAAACCACCCCGTCTTGTGTTTCCTGGTATATATTCTCACGTGAGGTTCCATGAATCCATGTCATGCAGTATCACTCCAAACAAAACCCCTACAGGTCCAGTCGGCAGGTCCAGCCAAGCCTCCAACCTTGCCCCACGTCAGTACAATGAGGTTCACAACATTAACATTAACCTGAACATCTACGGCCGATACCAAGAGATATAGAGGAGAATACTTGATATAAGGATATATAAGGTCTACCTGTTTTCTTTGGGTCTTCTCGGATGTCTTCACCTTCACAGCTTTCGAAGCCTCCAACCCAATTGGGATCGGCCATGGGATCCGCCATCCAGCTCCCAGCTGCGTCCACTGGAACTCCCCCCTCCCCAGACTGCACAAGCCGATCTACCAGGAAACTCTGAAGCCTGAAGAAAGCATCCTCACGAGTTGCAGTATCTGCCTGGACTATATATCTAGTACGGGAAGGGAACCAACGGATGTTCCCATGAACCTTAAGGTCCTTTCATTCCCATTCTCCAGCGGCTTTTGATGGCCTTTCACCATACCTCTCCCGTCCACCGCCTTTGTCCTTCGCGCAGTCGTCCACACGCGCGACGTCGTAAAGCGGCCCGCGTCGTCCAACGGCGGGCAGCGACACGGACGTCACGATGAGGAGTTCATCGTGAATTCCGGGGTCTTTCGGATTTGCAAGCCGGGCGGCCTTGGGGATTTTCGGGCCCTCTGAGTCCCAAAACCGCATATGCGTGGCGGGGATGAGTTTGGAAGGGACCAAGTGGATTGGAGTGGATTGGAAGAAGGAGTGTCGAAGAAAGAAGGGGTGGAACGAGCCAATGCCGAAGTCGTACTTTTTTGTTAGCTTATTCAGCAGAAAGAATTGACTGCTAGAGGAGGTTTCTCAAGCCCTGGAAAGCCAGTTGGGTTTCTCCAAAGGCAAGGAAGCTTTTCTGCACAGTAAGGATTCTTGAAAGTGAAAGCTTTTGACCCGGAGGCTCCTCATGCAGCACCATGCACCATGAGGGCACTATGGGGTTACTGTGGGGTAGGCTCAGCAGGGACACTTGAGCAAGGAGAGCTGATGCAGGTCCCTGACACCTTGGCGCTTTGAGCCCCTGACACCTGCTTTGAGCTTCATCACCAGCTCCAACCACCTTCCAGGTCACCCGTCCTTTGCACCAGTGGTGCACGGTGCACCCTGCTCGGCTGAGGGGAATTCCCGGAAAGGGCTGGTTCGTGGAGCACTTCGCCCTCATGATCGAGCTCACTCGGATGTTGGCGAACCTGCTGGGGGGGCCCTGAGCAGTGGAGATCGGGAGACTGAAAAGGCAGGCCTGGAAGCCAAGCTGGGAGAGAAACACCACCCACCTCCATGGAATGTTGGAATCTTCGAAGGGCCACTTTCGCTGGTTAGGTGGGTGGTCCGGTTTCAAAGATCAGCGGCACCCGGGCTTTAGAGGGTTGGGACTTTGAGTCACAACGTCTTCCAAGATTCCATTTAGGATGAACCATAAAGAACGTCATTCATTTTGGTGGGGGGGACACCTCCCTCATGGTGCAACCCAAAAAATGGAGATCTCCGGATTTTCTTTTGGGAGGTCTCTGTTTTGGTGTCGTGACTTCTCAGAGAGGCTACGGATCCCACCACTGCAGGCTCCGTGACTTTTGAGGGAATGCTTCCGGTGGGCCCGAACTTGGGAGGCCGGGGGATTGTTCGAAGCGTTTTGGGCCCGATTCCCCGACGTCTGGGACTCCCGATCAAAGTCCTGAAGTCGGCCAGCCAGCCCTAGGCTTGGAAGAACTTGAAAAGACTAGGTGACTTTTCGGGAGAAATGATGCATTTCTGGTGAACAATAGGGTCTCTTCCGGCCCGGTTGGAGATTCTGATTGCTTCACAAAGATTTCGGCCCGGTGGGTGATTCTCCGAACCGGTCCTGAGGGCGCTTGGAGATGGACCCCCAGTCATCGGATGATTCTGAGTCTTTGAAAAAAGGACTTCTTGGCGTTCGGACGTGCCACAACCAGGACGTTCGACCCCCACAACCGGAGGCGAACATCGTTTTTCGGAAGATGTCCAGACTTGAACCTCTTAGATTGTATAATATATAGGTCATTCAGATGTAAACTCTCGGATGCTTAGCTGTCTGTTGCGCTGCTGGAAGGATATCTGGAGCTTTTTTTTGTTTGTGCATGGGCTGCATGTTTGCATGTGTGTGGGTGTTTTCGTCCACGTTTTGGGTAGCCTGCAAAGGTCAGGGGTCACCCCAAACCCAGCCCGACTCGGCCTGACCAGCGACTTGGGGTGCGACTCACCGTCACTCCCAGAGCCTGGAAGTCCAGCCTGATGCTTTATGACTCAGCGGTTAGAAGAGCTACTCCAAAAAAGGAGACCCCCTGCCACTCTGGATCATCCAAAAAGCTGAGCGAACCTGTTTTGCTCCTCCCGGTCCCTTTTCGGGTCCCTTTGTTATAGGATTCCGTTGAGCTCATCGGCGAACCGCTGGCAAACATGAAGCAACTCAGGACCTGTCGGCAGAACACGCACAAGGCCGTGATGACACCCGACACCATGGCCCGGGACCCTGGGAGGAGGCTGCGAGTGGCTATGCGGCTTTGCCCTGCTGTTCCTTCAGTCGGTGTTTTCATATTGTTTTAAATTGAGAAAGCGAGAAAACGTTTGGGGCTCAGAAATCAGCCCTTTGCATGAATGAAGGAAGGTTTGGACTTGTTTGTGTTTAGTGAAGTCAGCAATTAAGGTGAGAACAAAGATGGGACGGGACAGCACCCTGTGTTTGAAGTGCAAAGGGCTGAACTGTCTGGTTCAAGGTTGGCTTTTCAAGAGCCTTGGGCTTTGGGTCTTGTTCTTTTTCTAACCAGCACTAAATGCGGCCGATGGGGAGGGGTAAACAGAGGAACGGATATATTTTCAAATGTTAAGATATTTCAAACATATTTAATGATTTGAAACCATTTGAAGCTGATCAGTTGTTGGAACACCTTAATTGATGCTATAAGAACTGGGTTGGACCTCAACTTCTTGAAAAAGCTTAACTCCCGACCAACCCGTAGGTCTGCGAAATAGCCCACAGAGTAGTGTCCTTCTTGGGAGGATGGGAAGAGAGCCAGGTGAAACAGAGGTGAGCAGATATAGGGGAAGTTTGCCAGTTGCTCCCAGAGCAACTCTTTCAAGACCAAAAGCATTTTATATATAGTGTAGGGCAGGCAAACAACATCCATCCAGTACTCCTAAAATGCAGTATTGTACTCCTTGACGTGCTGGCGTGCTCAGTCCTTTTGGCTTAGAAGGGATTTCTTACTAGACCACGAATCAGGTTGAACCCGATCAAATTTCTGGTTAAACCCGATGTCCTTAATAAAGGACCATGCAGTGGACAGCATTGTACCCTGGTCCGTGCTACGCTCTCCACCTCCAAGGCCTTCTTGCGCGACGTGTTGCGGCACTGCGCCGTGCTTTTCCACCGAGCCCCTTGGCCTTAGCATGAGATTGGATTGATTGGTGTGACATGAAGCCGAGGGATAGGCTCACCTGATCGATCCAAGATGATCCACGAATCCATTCGACTTCTTGATTGGCCCCGAGGTTCTGGGTGATCCGTTTTGTTTTTCTAGAACTCCGGGGAGGAATAGTGCCACGCCAACATTGCTTTTCGTTCCCAAAAGGCAGGTTCTATCAACGGAGCGTCATGCACCATTATGAGGATGTGCACGGGAACGAACGCATCGGCTGACGAATGTTACAGCTGTTTGCCACGAATGTCACATACAGCGCAAAGAAGAAGCAGCTTTTCGGTGGTGCCATCAACCCTGGACGCATCTTGGTGCTCGGTGCAAGAAAGGATTTTGTGACTGACGTGGCCGTCGTAGGATACGTCATTCCTGCGACGAAGGACATCTTGAACACGGTGGAAGTAAAACAGATTGGAGCTGTGCAGACCGTTGTGATCACTGTCACCGCGCGCAATGCGAACCTGATCAAGGTGTTGAGGTCCTTCTCAAACACTTGGGAACCTCGTGCAAGGGAGAAGCTTGAAACATCTTCCAATTCAGGAGCCCTTGCTGACAAGATATACGACCTCACAACGCAGGTAACAGAACTCAGCGGATCGGTGGCTTCTTTGAAACACAAGCAAACACAGATCGCGACGTCATTGGATTTGCTTTCACGGGAGGTGGGACGTGACGAAACCAACATCAATGACCAGCTCACCCAGTTGTCAGGCCAAGTGCACATGCTCAACACATCCACAGCGACAGGGGAATTGAACGATGCACAGTTGAAGAACCTCACGGGTGAAGTCCGCGATACAAAGATCGGAACAAAACAAGATGGAACCCACGAACCCACGAACCCGAATGCAAACACGTTCCATGTGCCCAAATGACACTCTTGTAGGACACTCTTGTGGGACACTCTTCTGGGACACTCTTGTGGGACACTCTTGTGGGACACTCTTGTAGGAAACTCTTGCGGGACACTCTTCTGGGACACTCTTGTGGGACACTCTGGTGAGACACTCTTGTAGGAAACTCTTGTGGGTCACTCTTGTAGGAAGCTCTTGCGGGGCACTGTTTTGGGACACTCTTGTGGGACACTCTTGTGAGACACTCTTGTAGGAAACTCTTGCGGGACACTCTTCTGGGACACTCTTGTGGGACACTCTTGTGGGACACTCTGGTGAGACACTCTTGTAGGAAACTCTTGTGGGTCACTCTTGTAGGAAATTCTTGTGGACATCTTGTAGGACACTCTTGTGGGTCACTCTTGTAGGAAGCTCTTGCGGGGCACTCTTCTGGGACACTCTTGTGGGACACTCTTGTGAGACACTCTTGTAGGAAACTCTTGTGGGTCACTCTTGTAGGACACTCTTGTGGAGCACTCTTACAAGACACTCTTATGGGACACTCTTGTCGGACACTCTTGTGGGACACTCTTGTGGGACACTCTTGTAGGACACTCTTGTGAGTCACTCTTACGGGACACTCTTAGAGGACACTCTTGCAGGTCACTCTTATGGGACACTCTCTTGTGGGACACTCTTGTCATGAAAGCTAGCATGCTAGCTGAGTTCTTCTTTGCTTTAGCAATTGGTAGTGGGATGAGCTGTGTGCCTTAAAGCTTGATATAACACGCTAACCCCTCCCTCCCCCCCCACGGTTCGACTCCCAGCTGCGCCGTGTAGCGGGGGTTGGTTGAACGTGTGAACGTGGTTGGTTGGGTGTAAACGGTGGCTTGGTGTAAACGGTGCTGCTGCTGCCGCTCTGCTGCTTGCTGCTGCTGTTTGCTGCCGCCGCTGGTTGCCACTTTTGTAGCTGCTGCTTTGCTACTTGTTGCGGCTTGGTGCTGCTGCGCTGTTGCTGACGACGCCGCTGCTGCTGCTGCTGCTTGCTGCATAGGACTTGTACTTCACTGTTACAAGTTCTTTACCCCTATTTCTAACCTAATGCATGCATAAGATAAGCCGGCTATTTCCTCAAGACACTCTACTCCTTATACCTTTTACCAGTGCTTATCCTACACTACGGACGCCCTAGTGTATGCACAGTCCTTGTGATGCCAGAAATGCTTACCCCTCTTTCCGGCACAAGGCATACATAAGCGGGGGTAAATTTACCCCCCAGAATTGCAATAACCATAAGCCGGCTATTTCCTCAAGACACTCTATTCCATATACCTTTTACCCGTGCTTCTCCTACACTACGGACGCCCTAGTGTATGTACAGTCCGTGTGATGTCAGAAATGCTTCCCCCTCTTTGCGACACAAGGCATACAAAAGCGGGGGGTAAATTTACCCCCCAGATTTGCCGATCACGCATCTTCGTGCCTGCCAACGAGTGCACCCGTGTTGTTCCAATGTACCCTTCCCAGTCGGCGATGTCACATTTACATTCTTTAGCGCAAAGTATGTACGTAGCAACCTTTCTCCCAAAACATGTAATCACTACATGCTTTGCCGACTATGTAACTAGTACATCCGGTGCGATTCGGCTAGCTTTCGACCTCCTCCCCCTGGCCTCAAGTGTGACACTCTTGTAGGAAACTCTTGTGGGACACTGTTGCGGGACACTCTTGTGGAACACTCTTGGGGGACACTCTTATAGGACACGCTTGTGGGACACTCTTGTAGGACACTCTTGTCGGACACTCTTGTAGGACACTCTTGTGAGTCACTCTTACGGGGCACTTTTGTAGGACACTCTTGTGGGACACTCTTATAGGACTCTCTTGTGGGTCACTCTTATGGGACACTCTTGTCGGACACTCTTGTGGGACACTCTTGCGAGACACTCTTGTAGGACACTCTTGTGGGACACTCTTGCCGGACACTCTTGTGGGACACTCTTGCGGGACACTCTGGTAGGACAGTCTTGTCGGACACTCTTGCGGGACACACTTGTGGGACACTCTTGTGGGACACTCTTGTAGGAAACTCTTGTGGGACACTCTTGTGGGACACTCTTGTAGGACACTCTTGAGGGTCACTCTTACACGACACTCTTGTAGGACACTTCTTGTGGGACACTCTTATAGGACACTCTTGTGGGTCACTCTTATGGGACACTCTTGTCGGACATTCTTGTGGGACACTCTTGTGAGACACTCTTGTAGGACACTCTTAAGGGACACTCTTGTGAGACACTCTTGTGGGACACTGTTGCGGGACACTCTTGTGGGACACTCTTGGGGGACACTCTTGTGGCACTCTTGTGGGACACTCTTGTAGGACACTCTTGTGGGACACTCTTGTAGGACACTCTTGTGGGACACTCTTCTTGTGAGACACTCTTGTGGGACACGGTTGCGGGACACTCTTGTGGGACACTCTTGTGGGACACTCATACGGGACACTTTTGTGGGACACTCTATCTGGGACAGTCTTGTAGGACACACGCTTCGAGGCTGCAAGACGAGCGGTTCGTACGAGACTTCCTCCACAAGTCACGTGTCAAGTCTCCAAAACGAGCGTTTCGTACGAGACTTCCTCCAAAAGTCACGTGTCAATCTGCGCATGGAGGTTCACAAAGTGCTGTGCCTGCCAAGAAATCTGCACATGGAGGTTCACAAATTGCTGTGCCTGCCACGAACTCTGCACCTGAAGGTTCACAAAGTGTTGTGCCTGCCACGAAAAGTGACCATATCATCTCATGTGAGCTTGGAGGTTCACAAAGTGCTGCGCCTGCCACGAAATCGGCGCATGGAGGTTCACAAAGTGCTGTGAAATTAGCTCTGGAGCAGCTGCGCCGGATCATTCACGCTCCTCTGCTTACCTCAATTGGACCCAATTGCGGTACTTAGGCAAGAGTAAGGGCCGTGCTTTCGATCAGGACGCTATACTATACACCGACCAGAGTCAAGACCGATCCTACAAGGCATTATCAAATCAGTCCCTGATGTCTCGTGGGAAACGAATGCTTCAGTTCACTCTGCTCGGATCAATAAACACATTAGAGATCGAGTCCCTGCGCCGAGCTTTTCCTCGACAAAAACGCTTACGGCAGAACCAAATTGCCAGTGAGGAGGCTCGTGAGTTGTGTGCTTTAAACACTAGTCTTAGACGCCAGCTGAAGCCATATAAAACCATGGCAAGACTAGCTCGGCTGAGAGAATGCTTTGAGAGTTGGAAGAGAGGAGAATACATCGGCGCAACTGAAGACTGGATCAAAGCTTTCCATACCAAGCAAGCAGTCATTCGTCACCAACTTAATGATACGGCCTGGAGACTCCGCAAGCAATTGCAAGCAGCTGGAAGTAGGCAACAGACTGATGGTCTTTGCTTTACAGATATGCCTCGTGCAAGCCTCACAGGGCAAGTTCTTGCTACTGGAGCACCCGGATGATCCAGGTCTCCACAATCCGGCCAAGAAGTCGCCGAGTGTCTGGAAGACAGCCCTGCTTGAATGGTTTAGACAAACAGGTCTTTTCACGGAGCTTAGGCTTGAGCAGGGCTTTTATCACCAGGACAGCCCGAAGCCAACCTTCTTGCTGAGCCGTGTGACTTCCGATGTAGCACATGATATAGAACTTCGAAGTAGGACATCGGAACGGCCAAAGGCTTGTTCCATTGGAAGGAATGGTGCAAAACTGAAGGAATATACACCACAGCTCTGCGCCATGATAGCACAGCTTTTCCGTCAAGGTTGAAGCCCCAGATCGAAGATCTTGAGGAGGCTCCCAGTGACTACAGTTGGTTGCAATCTCTTACGGTCACAACATATGAGCACGAGTCTCATGGACCGGACTTTGCTGGCGCGGACTAATTAAGAATTCAGTTGCTAGGCAGCGCGCTTTACTGCGCTTGCTGCTGCGAATGGACATGGAAAATGGAAAACTCCGGGGAGTCGGCGATCGATGGTCGGACTTGCTCTAAGAAGGCGGGGGTGAAGGACGAGGTTGTTCAACCAACTACTACCAAGGACTTTGCCGTGACTTAGTCGTGGCGTGGTGTCACAGTGTGATTTGCTTGCCACAAC